TGGAAACTTAGAGACAGGGCCTAGGTCATGGGGCCATGACCTTGGGGGCTCTCTTGTCCCTAGCCATGTCCTTCCACCAGGATGTCCTGTTCCGCCTCAGGCTTAAAGCAATGGAAGCAATAGATCATGGGCTGAAACCTCTGTAGCTATGAGCCAAAATAAACACTTCCTCCTTTACTGACAGCCAACACAAGGCTTTAGAGCTCTGCTCATTGGTCCCTGCTCACTTTCTCAGTGAGCTGATACATGCAAATATTCAAAAGTCTGAAGATAGCTTTACACGTGAGCACCACTGTGTTCCATGGGGTTCTAGGTACTGGATACACCAGTGAACAAGGCTCTTGTTCTCATCACATTTGCATGCTGCATATTCAGCCACTCCAGACTTGCTTGCCATCTCCACTGGCCTACAACAGAGGGCAACAACTACCCCCACCGAATCCATCGTCCTCCACCTACATCCTCACTCCGGGCTGTTCCCATCAGTCCTTGCTGGGGTCCGGACATGTGGTGTCTCTCAAGGGTTTACCTGTTCCAATTCAATCCCAAGCGTGACCACCAGCCTGGTGTTTACAGGTGGGCCCTCTGTGATCAGATCCTGGGGGGCTGATGAGACAGACCGAAGACTGAGCGTGCGCTGTACCAGGGACTGAGCTAGGAAGGTGCTCCACATCTCCAGCCCTGCTCCCCTGAGACAGTGAGGCTTGCACTTGCGCTCTTCATGCCTCACACTCTCCAGCAGCTGGGATCACAGCCGTGGCCCCACGCCCAGTGCCACCTTGGGGCACTGCTGGCAAGGACAGCACCAGTGTGCAGACCCCTGAGCTTTCAGAACTCTAAGCTTAAGTAAATTCCTTTTTATATACTTACCAGCCTCAGTATTTTGTTGTAGTAACGGGTAATGGACAAAGCCAGTCCACTTACTCCAAGGGCTCATGATATAGTCATTTCTCCTCCTCTCTAGTAATTTCCTGACGCCCAGACCTTTTCAGCCACCATCTGTGTTTACATCAACATCTTCCTAAGTCGCCTCCCTCATCTCACCCAGGGCTCACTCTCCAGCAGCAAATCTCCCCCCCGCCTGCCCCGTCTCTTCTGGGACACCACACCATTGCAGAATAGACACCACTGGGTGTTGGGAGCCGCGTCTGTGATAGCTTGCCTTGCGCTGCGGACGTGCGGCCTGTGGTAAAGAGCAAAGCCTGAGGTAGATTACCCCTCCCATCGAATATGTTAGTTTCCTGCTTACCGCGTAAACAACCCGCTCAACAATATAGTCTGCCTGGCAACTGATGATGTTAGCCAATCAGCTTGCCTTGCTTACTTTAACATGATTGGACACTGTACCCGTATATATACCGGTGCCACCCCTGGGCGGAAGAAGAAGCCAGGTAGAAGCCCGGAAGTAGAAGCCCAGAAGGAGCCGCGGAGAGCGGACCGGTAGAGGCTTCGGAGCGAAGCCCGGAAGGAGCCGCGGGGAGCGGACCAGAGGAGGCTTCAGCTGGGAGCGATCCCAGGGCAGGCTGTACGGAGAAGGAAAATAAAAAGAAAAGGTTGTCCACTGCCAGACTTTGTCGTGTGTCCTTCCTGCCGGCCGGGAGCGGACATCGACATTTGGAGGCCCGCCCGGGGACTGATCACCCCCGAGACGTGGAAGTGGACAACGCTCCAGTACAGAGCTGCGAGACAGGTGAGTTGGGGATAAGCCTGGGCTCTGGGTGGCGCGCACCTACAGGGCTTTTAGACTCCCCTCAGGCTCACGCGTAAGTGGCGGATTCCTTGGGCCTCACGCGGTGAGTAACATATTAAAAGATGGGAAACATGTTAGGTAGCAACACTAAGAGCGAGGGTGGTTGTGGAGAAAGCTCTCAAGAGCTTACAAAAGTACGCAGGGTATCTGAGCAGGCCCAGTCAGGGAGCTCCCGAGAGGGGTCCGTCAAGGGGAACAAGGATGCTAAGGAGAAGGACGGGGCTCTAGCCTCGGAGTCGTCTGACTCCGAGGACGAGGGAAAGTTGAATGGCAGGGAGGCCAAAGAGACCAGCTGTCAGGAGCCTAAGTCGCTCAATAAGGAGTCGCAGGGTTCTTTTCCAGCGTCACGCCGCGAATTGCGCTCTGCTCAACCTGGTCTGCGGAGGAGTAGAGAGCTCCTGAGCGCTCCCCAGCGCGAGAGGGAGGCGATCCCTCGCCACGAGGCGGCCGCCTGGGAGCTCCCTCCCCTTTCGCCAGAACAAGAAGTGATGCACGGGCCCCCATTTTCCGCCCAATCACGGCCGCCGTCTTATGCTCCGCCGCCGGCGGGTCGGTATTTTTACAGGCGGCTTTGGCAGGGGGGACGCTTGTCTCATGAGGTACATCCACCTGGGATAGATAGTGGCCCCTACGGGATGTTTCCTGTACAAGTAGCTATGGGCCAGGGACACAATGCATGGGAGCCTTTTGAGATAAAGCAGATTAGAGAACTTAAAAATGCAGTTACAACCTTTGGGCCGACTGCGCCTTACACCATTGCCATGCTGGAGAATCTGTCTTCTGGGCCCCTCACCCCCGCGGACTGGATTCAGCTGGCAAAGGCGTGTCTGCCCTCGGGCAGTTACCTGGATTGGCGAGCCTGGTACACAGAGTTCTCTGCAGAGCAGGCTGAGAAAAACGCCGGTCGAGGAAATGGGAGCTGGGGATTTAGCTCAGCGGCATAAGCGTCTGCCTTGTAAGCAGGCAATCGCCAGTTCGATCCCTGGTACCAATAAAAAAAAAAAAAAAAAAAAAAAAAACGAAAAAGATAAAAATAAAAAATAAAAAATAAAAAACAAAAAGGGGGAGTAGGCCAAGGCCTGGCCCCAAAGGCACGATTATCCATGGCACTATTCACACACAATTTTTTAAATTTAAATAATGATAATCGCTCCCCAGCTGTGGAGCACTGCAACCCTTCCCCCAACCATAAAGGGTGGGTGAAGTGGAAAGATGTCCTGACGGGACAATGGATGGGCCCGGATCCAGTGGTCAGCTGGAACCGAGGCGCGGTTTGTGTTTTCCCACAGGAATCGGGACGAGAACCACTGTGGATACCGGAGAGACTGACACGGGCAACAAAGCCCTCGACTGAAGATCAGACCTGCCCTACTGGAGATCCATCACAGACCAACCAATAAGATGAATAGAAATAGCGGTAGCCCGAAATGGACAAGAAGATCCTCAGGCATATGCATGGCTTGCTCAATTGGCCCACGACCGAGTCTAGATATGGCGGGCATCCCTCATTCTCCTCCATAAGGTGACAATACACAGCAGGGTAGGTGAGTCAATGACGGGTAAGAGCGTGCCTCCCCAGCACGACTCGACCTAAGCCAGGCCCTACCCCATCCTGCACGTAAGCCGCTGGACTGTTAGATGCTGCCCAGGTCTAAATTTCTCTCCGAGGGGATTTCTTTACGGAGAGAGAATGAGTGCAAGCTTGTGTGCATCCAGGTTCCGTCCAGTTTGTGCCTGGCCCTAGAAAAAGGACGAGGGCCTCAGGGCCTTGGCGGACCATGGGACGGCCGACCAGGGTCTAAGCCAAGGACCTACGGTGGGCCTACGCATAGGGCATAAGCCTCTGCACCCAGTCCAGGAAGGGCTACGATGCGCACATTCATAAAAAATAAAAATAGGGGGAGATGTTGGGAGCCGCGTCTGTGATAGCTTGCCTTGCGCTGCGGACGTGCGGCCTGTGGTAAAGAGCAAAGCCTGAGGTAGATTACCCCTCCCATCGAATATGTTAGTTTCCTGCTTACCGCGTAAACAACCCGCTCAACAATATAGTCTGCCTGGCAACTGATGATGTTAGCCAATCAGCTTGCCTTGCTTACTTTAACATGATTGGACACTGTACCCGTATATATACCGGTGCCACCCCTGGGCGGAAGAAGAAGCCAGGTAGAAGCCCGGAAGTAGAAGCCCAGAAGGAGCCGCGGAGAGCGGACCGGTAGAGGCTTCGGAGCGAAGCCCGGAAGGAGCCGCGGGGAGCGGACCAGAGGAGGCTTCAGCTGGGAGCGATCCCAGGGCAGGCTGTACGGAGAAGGAAAATAAAAAGAAAAGGTTGTCCACTGCCAGACTTTGTCGTGTGTCCTTCCTGCCGGCCGGGAGCGGACATCGACAACTGGGAACTTGCAACTCAGAGTACTACCATGCACCGAACTGCCCTGTTGTAGCCAGTGGTCAGAGCTGGGACAAGGATGCAGGTGGCAAAGCTCCAAGCCACCTATTTTGAAGGCATTTTCTCTCTCACTAGGTCCGATAGAGCTGGCAGAAACACCTGCAGCCATAGGGAAACGTGGCCAGACTCCTTCTGGGGTGTGTGTGTTAGGATTAAAGCATCACCCACAACAAGCATCGAAAGGAATGTCCGGATTTCTGAAGTGTGCATACTTCACTGTTTTCAAAACACAGACTGAATCCTTTTAACATGCAGTCTCTTGGAAGACTAGGAGGTGACCTTATGGTTAATGACAGTCACATGGAGCACAAACTGCCTCAGTGGACGTAGAACAGGCGTGGACATGGGTATTTTGTTTTATTAAAGAGCTATTTTTGCTTTCTGCTAATAGCTTCTTTCATTTTACTTCCCAATGTAATAAGACTTAATTTCTCATTGTAGGGAAAAGCTAGTTCCACTCAGAGCTGTGTTATTAGCAAAGGCACCGGCAGGAACTCCTCCCACCACGCAGCAGCAGCCGAGAAGCTGCCGCCTGGCAGTGAGCGCCGCCTCCTCAGGGGGACCAGGCTTTGCGCTCTACAGGAATTCCTGTGAGACCACAAAGTACTTGAGAGTGCCTGGGAAAATAATGGCTTGTGCAAGTAGTTTAGCAGAGACGGACACTCTGGAAGAAAAGTTCTCCAAATCACAGCTCCTCCCAACCCACCAAGTCCCCCCGGTACCTGAGGAAGCCCGGGAGGGCGAGCAGGAGCCCTGCCTCGCCGTCATCCTCTGTACAAGCTCATGGTACTTGTGAGGAAGCAGGGACCGAGGCAGCATGGCTGTTTATTAGTCAGTAGAAAAGGAACTGTACAGGTTCGAGCGTGAGATGGGAGATGGAGCCCCAGTACCTGAGGTCACACCTCCATGCCAGAGAGCTCCAGGTTAGAGCCTGAAGCAGGGTCCCCACAGGCGCCAGCTCTCTGGATGCCGCAGAGCATCTTCTAAGGGTGCTGCCCCCGTGGGGGGCACTGAGTGTCCTTGCCCAGCAGCTGGGCCTGAAGAAAAGATGCCAAGGAGGCTGAGCCCAGGACCGTGGCTAACAAAGCCATGCGGATATACATGCCGTTCTCAGCCTGGCGGAAGTAGGCTGCTCGGGGGTCCGAGTCCACCTCCACACTGCAAGGGAAGGGACAGTGTCACCACATGCCCACAGCTAGCTCCTCTAAGCAGCCCCCACTTCCGATGCTTGTCACCTTATCTCGTTCACACGAGGCATAGGGTGCATCACCACCATCTTCTCCTTGGCTCGGGTCATGATGTGTGGGGTGAGGATGAACTGACCGAAGCACTGCAGTAGACAGGGCCCCTGTTAGCACTGCAGGGCAGGGTGGTGACAGAGGACACTCTGGGTGCCCCCTCCACGACCGCAGCCCCTGCCTGCCTCCCTGCTCCCTCGCCTGGGTGCCCTGTTCCAGCCAGCCCTGTTTATTTCTCGGGCTTCTTCCTCGTGCTTGGTACTCACGGATTCATACTCCTGGGCAGAGCCAAAGCGCTCCTTCTGGATTCGAGTCATGTATAGCACGTCGGTGTCGGGCAGTGCCTCCTCGATGCTCTCAAACTCCTCCTGGAAAGGAAGTGGGGCCACGGTGAAGGCACGCTGGGCACTGACCACCCAAGCTGAGCCCCCAGCCTGGGTGGGGCCCTGAGGGTCTCACCTGCTTGATCCCCCGGGAGGCTACGTAGTTCCACACGTTGGGCGGCATGCGCAAGCTGGGGGGCGCCACGTAGCGCAGGCTGACACGGTACAGGGTGAGCAGGCGGGCCAAGGAGTGTACTGTGCGTCCGTGCTTCAGGTCTCCCACCATGGTGATCTGGGGAGGAACCCGGTCACCAGAGCCTAGATGAGGCATTTCTCCCACTATCCCAAGGCCGTGGGTCCCAGGACCAGGACATGGGCCTCCTAAACACAGTACGCTCTGGACTGAGAAATCACTTCTTGCTTCCCCACGGGGAGGGCTCCAGCCCCTGCCACTGTCCTCACCGTCATGCCATTGACAGTCCCCAGCTCCTCCCGGATGGTGAAGATATCCAGCAGGGCCTGTGTGGGGTGCTCTCCAACCCCATCTCCAGCATTTATCACTGGCTTCCGGCAGTGCTTGGATGCCAGCTGTGGGACAGAAAATGAGGAAGGAGAACTCGCAGCTCAGCGACCTCAAGCCCGCTCCTCCCAAGCGGACCTCCCTCCTTTGTGGCCTGAGAACACAAGGACAGAAGGCCCTCGGGCTCAGGTGCGGGCTCCCGGCCCATCTGGCACACAGATCAGCCTCACCTCCACTGCTCCGGGCTGGGGGTGCCGGAGCACAACCACGTCGGCGTAGCAGCTCATGGTCTGCACTGAGTCGGCCAGGGACTCGCCCTTCTGGACGGAGGATGTGGCTTCCGAGAAGCTGAGCACGGAGCCCCCAAGCCGGGCCATGGCTGCTGCAAAGGAGCTACTGGTTCGCGTGCTCACTTCATAGAACATGGAGGCCATAACCTTGCCCTGCAGAGACGCCAGGTGGAAGGTGGGCGTGTGGGGTGTGTGTTGCCAGTACCGCTGGTTCTTCAATCAAACCTCCCTGGTGAGCTGCCAGAATCTTGGCACTTTTAGTACCAGGACTCTGAGCTAAAGACCTGCCTCTAAAGAGCCAGTATGTGAGTGACCTGGGATAGGGGGAAAGCTCATCTCTCTGGCCACTGACCTGCAGAGATGACCCTACAGATGGGCTGACACTCTGGCACTTAACACCATTTCAGCTAAATACCACTGCAAGAAGGGGAACCACAGGATGGGTGCAAAGCAGCGGGACCTTCCAGAGCAGAGGACAGAGCTGCTAGCAGTGTAGGGCCCGCGTGTGCATGAGGGGACCCAACAGCAGGGGCAGGAAATGGTCTGCACCTTCAGCCCCACAGCCTGACCCTAACCTTGAGGATGTCGAGACTTCGCTCTTTCTGTACTGTCATCCGCAGAGTGTGTGCCACATTGAAAAGGTGGGACATCTACGAAAGAGCCCGAGTCAGCAGGAAAGGCAATGAGCAGCCCCTGGGAGCCCTGCTCCCCACTTTCCACGTTCAGGGCTCTGAGTGTCCCCGGCTCCAGCTCCCCCTTCCTCAGGCACCTGATCTTTGGTGAACTGCTTCACAGACAGGATGTGCTGGCCCACTAGTGACTGCAGTGGCGGTGAGGGCTGGGGATGCAGGCCAGCAGCCCCCAGGTTCTGGGGTGATGCCTGTCTCGGTACTGGTGGTGGAGGGTAGTAGGTGCTGTCTGGGGTTCCCATCAGCTCTATAGTGAGGGACAAGGTGGTAGAGACAGTCAGAGGGTTCTCTCCCATCCAGGCCAGGCTGTGGCGGTCCCTAAGTGGTACAAGCACCAGGGTGGAGCCACTCACCTAGCTCGGTTGCCTTCCGAGAAGCTTTTTCCTTGGGCTCCTCGGCTGCAAACAGGGCAGGAAGACAGATGTGCATGTGTGGCTGCAGTGTGCAGAGCCCCTGGTTCCCCAGAACTCAGCGCACAGTGCCTGTGTTAAACCACCTCACACTGCAGTGGCTACGGCAGGTTAGGCGTAGGCAGGAAGGAGGCAGTAGCTTTGGGACTCCCCGTGAGGCTAGGTGTGGGAGCAGTGCTGCCCACCCTGGCCTTTCCCAGCTGCAAGGGGGATCCTAGGCAAAGGAACAGCCAGGTTTGTGCCAACCAGCAACTGAGATTTACCCCTCGCTCTGCTGCCCCATGAGATGCCAGCTTCTGGGCGGAGGAACACAGCTGCCCACAGAGAGAGAAGCCTGTGAGAAGGCGGTACAGGTGTGCACCTCGGGCCCCAGCGCCTCACTTAGGCTAAGAAGGGAAGAGAGGGCCAGACTAGGCGGAAGGCATGAAGAGAAGGACATGGTAAATGGGCAGAAGAGCGCTGGCAGGAGGGGCGAGTCAGTTCCTGGGCAATGGGCCCCAGGGCTAACACTGGAAGAAGGGGACCCCCAGGAGCAGCCAGAGACCCTCTTACCAGGAAGACCTGGGTCGGAGGCTCGGTGGATCCGGGGTGGCAGGTGGAAGCGGCCATCGGGAAGCCCTGGGATGCCCCGGCGTGGCCTCTCTGGGGTCTGGAGTGGTGATATTGGCCCAGGGTGTTGAAAAGCAACTGACCCAACCCCACACACATTCAACCCCTTGGGAAAAGCCAAGGGCTACTTGTGACTATGGCACTCAGCACCATCCTCCCCATGTGGTCAGCAGACAGCAGAGGACCCCATGTGGTCAGCAGACAGCAGAGGACCCCATGGCAAGGCCCTCAGGGAGAACTCTGGCTGGACTAACAGTGGCTAAGGTCTCAGAGGCGGCCTCTTAGGCTGAGAGCTGGCTCTCTGGTGCACTGTCAGAGGAAAGTGGGGTTCTCTCCATTTTTTTAAAGTCTTACTATGTGGCTCAGGCTGGCCTTTAATTCACAGAGATTCTCCTATCTCAGCCTCTGGAATGTCAGGATTATGCCCATCGTGCCCAACTGGTGGTGGGGTTTTAACCCTCAAGTCTGGAGCCTTCTGCTCCATGAATCACCAATGAAAATGCTCAAGCTGTTGGCACTGCCTGGGGATACCTTAGGCCCAATCCCCAGCCCCAGGTCAGAAGCAGTGTGGATACCGTGGTCATTTCACTGGTGGCAGGGGCTGAGGGTGGGGGCTGAGGAACAGCCCCCTGAGGCCACTTCCGCACATCCTGTCCATAGCCCGGGGGCACCAGCACCTGCAGAGAGAAGGCAGGGACATGAGAAGAGCAGCTCGGCTCCTAAAGAGCTGGACACCAGCAAAAAGAAATAAGTTGCTAGGGACGTGGGCACCCAGAAGAGGCAAGGGACCGCCTACGCGTGCCAGGCCGGGAAGAAAATGCCAACAACGCCAAAGGAGGTCAGGCTGAGATCACGCAGGGGCCGCACGGATACCTGTCCGTCAATGTAGGCAACCTCCCCTCGCAGGACCACACGGCGGACGGTGCCCTTCACCTTCTGCCCTTCAAAGGGTGTCCAGTGGGCCTTGGAGAAGGGCAAGTGACTGGGGATTGTCCACTCATGCTCCAGATCCACCTGCAGAGGGTCACGGGTTACACGCCGGGAAAAGCCCTGTGGCCGGAGAGTCCCTGCCCAGGCTTTCGTCCCACACCTCCACGTAGGTGTCCTCCTGTGGTGGCAGGTGGAAGATCCGCCGAGGATTGTGGTGCAGTCGCTGCAGCAGGTCATCCAGAGTGAGCCGGCCCTCGCTCACAGCCGTCAGCAGCAGTGGCAGCATGGTCTCTAGCCCTGGGAAGCCAGGTGGAGGCCGGGCCCCACACTTCTCCTCCAGGGTGTGGGGGGCTGGGATAGACAGCCGTTAGCCTCAGGGTCTGAAGGGAACCCGTTCCCTCCCGACTTGGGGAGGCACACACCCCCGGCAACTTTGCTGTACTCACTGCCAACCCTGACACTCATTTTCTCTGGGAACTTGGGAGAGGGGACAACTGCCTTCCTGTGAGGCCCACAACTCTGCTTATTCATGCTTTCAACTGGTTTTGGGAATGCATCACCAAGCAGGCAGTTGTTGGACACTGGTTTCTCACAGATGAAGACCCTGTCCCTGGAGAGCCCTGAGTCTTGGCCTGATTTTTGCTTTCCTGGTAGGGCTGGCCCACAGCTTGAGCTGGGCAGAGCAGGTGCACAGGGGCCGCTCACCATGGTCTGAGGCAAAACAGTCGATGACAGCCATGTTCTCCCAGAGGGCTTCTAGGTCCTGGCGGGAGCCCAGCTCAGGCCGGACCTCCCCTTTCCCGGGCCCCAGGCGCTCCAAGTCCCCCTGGCTCAGAAACAGGTGGTGAGGGGCCACCTCACAGGTCACTGGTAGCCCCTGTGCCTTTGCAGCTTTGATTAGCAGGATCTGGGGAAGAGAGTGGAGATCCAAAGGAGGCCCCATATGCCCCGCCCTGCAAATGCCCACAGCCAACACTACTTCTCAAGAGTGCTGCAGGCTGCGTGCCAAGGGGACTGGCTCCAGGCTCCTCTCCACCCTCTCCTGTCCCCAAGGACCCCTGGGGTGCACTTTTACCTCCTCCTTCCGTGCCACGTGACATATGTGCACTGAGCGTTGCATCAGCTGAGCCACCATGAGAATGGCAGCGACACTCTGCCGCTCTGCGTGGGCCACAATGGGCAGGTGGGCTGGCCAGGTCTCGAAGTGCTGTGGGAGCAGGGCTAGCTGAGGGCATGTACTGCCTGACTCTCCAGGCTCACCACAGCCCAGGGCCCTGGGAACAGCATTCAGTGGCCTCCTGCCATGGCACATTGCCTACCTCCATCCACTGGGCCACACTGTCCAGCCGCAACTCAGAGAAGGTCTCGTTGAGGTAGAGCTTCAGCCCTGCCGCAGACCCTGCCACAGCGCCCAGGGTCCCTGCATTTTCGGACGAGGCCCCAAGGAAAAGTGCATAGTCACAGCGGGCGCCAGCTTCTGCTAGCTGGAAAGGACAGGGAGGGGAGTGGTCAGCACCCACAGCCGCACAGACCAGCCTGGGCCACAAAGGGGGCAGAGGGGAAGAGCTCAAACACAGGGGCGCTGTGCTCACCTTTTGGGCCAGAGCCAGAGCAGGGGCATCAATAATGGGCGGCTGGGTGTTAGGCATGGCACACACCATGGTGACACCCCCGGCCAGAGCAGCGGCTGTACCTGAGGCAAAGTCCTCCTTGTGTGTCCCACCTGGCTCCCTCAAGTGCACATGGACGTCAATCAATCCTGGGATTAGCAGGACAGGAAAGACAAAGGTGTTTTGGGATACTGGGAAAATTAGTGGCACCTGATACAAGCCCCTCAGCCTAGGGGACCATGGATTGAGAAATAAAGGTCACAACAAGACAAATTCCAGGGCCTTCAAAGGCTGTACAGGGCAGGGCAGAGGATGGGCCCCACCCTACCTTTACTCAAGGGCCTCTACACCAGCTGCTACCACTGTCCCCAGAGGCACTCACCAGGCAGCCGCACGAGCTTCTGGGAGGTCATGCAGTCAACATGTACCTTCAGAGGAGGGGTTGGCCCAATCTGGCCCAGAGCCTGCAAGTGGGAGGCGGTGGTGCTGTCAGGACAGTCAACCTCCCTCTGGTTCCCACATTCTCTCCCTCTGCAGCCACAGAGCTTATCACTAGCACAGCCCCTTCGTGACTGTTCCTACCGCACAGGATGTGCTCCCTGCCCTCTCCTCCTGTATCATACCAGCTGTCTCGCTCCAGCACCTGGGCCCCAATTACCTCCACAAAGAGTTTGGTGCACTTGATATCGATGATGAGGGGCACAGAGAAGTCAGCAGCCAGGCGCCGTGTACGGTAGCCCTTGGTCACGAAGGAGGAGAGACGCCGGCCCCCAGCTCCACGCATTGACAGGTTAATCACTAGCTCGAAGTGGTTCTCCGCCAGCTGCTCCAAGATGCTCCGCTGTGGGGGACACTCACCATCTACTGCTTCTTCAAAGTGCCAGTCTACAGCTGTTACCTGCAGGCCCAGAGCCAATGTTAGGCCAACATGAACCTGGCAGAGATCGGGGAGGCCAATCTGGAGGAAGGGGATGGGAGCCGGCCATGGCGAGAAAGACAGAGGACCCACAGGCTGTGGACCAGGGCTGCCTCTATTTGCTATTGGCCAGGTGTGTTTTCTTGACAGGAAAGTGTCTCTACTATGTGGAATAAGACAGGTTACCAAGGGTCAAGAGTGGTATGAGCTCACACGCACAATCAGGAAGGGAATACCCGACTCATGGATTAAGAACTGGTGGTCAACTTAACGCCAGCTGGATCACATCAGCATGGCATTGAGCGAAGATGCTCCACCTGAGGAAAATTGCCAGCATAAATAGGTGGAGAAGAAGGGAGGTGTTGAGGGTCGAGGTGTTCAGGCGTTGTAGCATTGTGGGTTCTCCTACATGTTGCTGTTTGAGCCGTTGGTTCCCCTGGAGAAGCTTTGGTCCTCACATCGAGCATTGCTTCCTGGCTCCAGAGGGGAAGATGTGTGCTGCTTGGTCTCCAGGATGGGCTGGTCGCACTACTTCCTGACATGTACCCGACTGTGCTTGTCGGAGGAGGAGCTTGGGGCCTCCGTGTCGCTGAGGACAGCTGTGGTGCCTTTCAGGACAGCCCCGCTCTTTGTTGTGAGTGTGACTTCTTGGCTCCAGCATAGAACCCTCATCCCACTAGCACAGCTCCTTCGTCCTGCTGGCACAGGCTTTCTGGCTTCCACCGCTGACCCTTGGGCCTTCCCAGCACGGATCCGTAAAAAGACTGGTATGAGTCCTTCTTGTGGGCTCTGGACCTCCAGTTGGACTCTGGGAGGCATTGTCCTGAGCTCTAGGTTTTATCTGGACTCATGTGGGACACTGCTGTGGGATTTAGGCTCTTCTTGACTAAATAATCTATGTCTTTGGTGTTGCGGATAGATTTCCTGCATTTTCCTGTTAATTCCTGGTGACCGTTATTATAAACTCCATGTCTTCATCCTAACTGTTCTGTGTACAACCCCTGACTACAACACCCGACCATTAATTAACAGTGCAAGAGATGGCCAGGAACTGCCCTCGGTGTACGTAAAGCACATGTTACTAGTACAACACAATCACAGAATCAAGGGCCACGAGAGCAGTGCAGGGTGCTGGAGCCGTTACCTTGACGCCGTGCTCAGTGTAGAAGTCAGCTGTGCCCAGACTGGCGTAGAGGCTGTAGCCCAGGCTCTCCAGCAGCCGCACAGTAGGGAGCAGCTCGCTTTTGTTCTGTAACCAAGTAGAAGGAATAAGGGGTACGTTTCTGTCTTCCATTTCCAGGTTGGAAGTCGCCCAGCAACTCAAGACCACCTGGACCCTAGTTTCCTGGGCCCTCCCCGATTCTGGTACCTTATAGCTGCCGATAGTCAGCAGGATGTTCTTCTTGGGGATCTTAAAGCCAGTGCTTAGCATGGCCTTGAGGTAGGCCTCGCAACGGCTCTCCCCAAAGCAGGCCACCTCCCCAGTACTGGTCATCTCCACACCCAACACCACATCAGCACCCGCCAAGCGGGAGAAGGAGAACTGAGGCACCTGAGGGAGCAGGACAGAAAGAGCCAGGGTGTCAGCTGGAGAGGCAGGCACGGCCCCCTCTCCTCAGCCCACGGACACAGCAGGGCCGCCCTTGGCTGCCACCGCCCTTCCACACGGACCCTACTGCTTGCTAAACTGCTGCTATTCCTGCTGTCCCTGGCCATGGAATACTTTCCCATTGAGCTCTGCAAATCAAAACCCTGACCTCTGGGCCGGGGGTGTAATGGGTCAATAGGGGAGCACTTGCCTAGCATGCCTGAGGCCCTAGGTTCCATTCCCACAGCAAAAATAAGAAAGAAACCACCAACAAAGCTAATAAACAAAAAAAACCCCAAACCCAAACTCAACCAAATCCAAACAACCCTCACGACCCTTGACACTCCTCAGTTCCGTCAGTGTCCCTCCCCTAAGCAGTCCCAGGTCACCCATTCTGGAAGTAGTACCCTGACTCTAAATACCCCGGGCACTGGGTTTTATCTTGACTATGCAGGTTTATCATAGATTATTTCCTATCCAAGCTACTCTGGGGCCTGACTTCTCTTGCCTTCCCCTCCTTGGATGTAAACCACCACTCGCTGGTCCAGCAAGGCCTTGTGTAGACGCCAGCCTGACTGCTGACTGCTCTCTCCCTGTCTGCCTGCTAGACCAAGGGTTCTAATCCTCCATACCTTTACACCCACGACTCCAGAGCCAGTCATGAGCCCCACGGGTTCCACCTTTTCCCCCATGATGATTCGTGTGGCCAAGGCTACTAGGTCAACACCTAGTGTTTTGGAGACAAAGGGGAAGGAGCGAGAGACACGCACGTTGCATTCAATAACTTTCAGCTGATCGTCCTGGGGCAGAGAAGGATTGTATGAGGCTGTGTGCAGGCTAGGCCTGCTAACACTGCTCCACTGACTCTCCCTCCATTCTGAGCGGTCAGCCCAGGTGGCTATGGCAAATGCTGGCCACAGTGCAGACTGCAGCTGTACAACCCCTTCCCTCCAGCTCTGATGTTCCCTGGATGAGGCTGGGACATCGCAGAGCTTCCGGAACGAGTCTAGCACAGACTGTGGAGGAGCACTGGCTTTTCTGTTCCTCCTTTCACATTACCTTGGCAATGAGCTGCAGATTGAAGGGTCCTGTGACCTGCAGCTCCTGGCCCACAGCATGCACGATGGCTTTGATACGCTCCAGGGTCTTGGCAGTGATATCTTGTGGGGGGGTAACCAGTGTGGCATCGCCTGAATGCACACCTGCATTCTCCACGTGCTCAGAGATGGCAATAGCAGCCACCACACCATCACAGGCCACAGCGTCAACATCAATCTCCTAGTGGCAGCCATAGGCAGTGTATGTGATATAGGACAAGGTGCACTTTCTTCCCCCACTTGCCCTTCTAGAAGGCTTCCTTCCTCTAACAGCCCTGGCACCAACTGTCCTTCCCGGCATGCTGTGTCTCTCATTCTGCAAAACCAGCAGGGAAGTCTCCCCTCGGGGTCGGGGAGCGGGAGGGGTGCCCTCAGAAATTTCTTTGCAGTTTCTCACCTTGGCCTCCTGGATGAATTTGGAGATGACCACAGGGTGCTCCTTGGAGACAGCTGCTGCACTGCTTAGGAAGCGCTCCAGGTCCCCATCAGTGTAGGCCACATTCATCGCGGCACCACTCAGCACATAGGAGGGGCGCACCACACAGGGGTACCCCACATCCTGGCAGAACTGGCGAGCAGACTAAGGGAGCCAGGAAGGGAGCTTAGTGGGACTGGTCATATTCATCCACAAGCATCATTCAGGCTCCAGCCCCTCTGCCCACACCAGCCCGCAGCCCACCTCTAGGTCACTGAGCTCCCGCCACTGAGGCTGGCTGATACCAATGGTGTCAAGGAGCCGGGAAAACTTGAATCGGTTCTCAGCAGAGTCAATGGCTTCAGGGGAGGTGCCCAGCACCCGGCACTGCTGCCGATGTAAAGCCATGGCCATGTTGTTGGGCAGCTGTCCTCCCATGGACAAGATCACACCTTCGGGATTCTCCAGCTCATAGATGTCCATCACCACCTGTAACGCAGGCCACAAACAAATGGTGACAACCGAAGAGCTCAAGAAGATGAACCTTCCTGTTTACTGTTCCCCGCTTCCCTGCCAAGTGCCAAAGAATCCTGAGTGAGCCACTCAGTGCCCTCCCCTCTCACCTCGAAAGAGATCTCATCAAAGTACAGTCGGTCACACATGTCGTAGTCGGTACTGACCGTCTCTGGATTGTAGTTCACCATGATGGTCTTATACCCCATCTGCCATAGAATGAGTAATCACTTAGCAATCAGAAGGCAGGAAGAGGATGTGCAAAGTAAGCCACCGTCCCCACTGCAGGGTGCCAGCTGCCCAGCTTCTTGTGATAATGGATAGCACCTGCCTTGGGGGAGAAGCCTCCAGCATGTGGGGCAAAAGCCCTCCTGGCAACCCACTGAGTAACGTGTAGTAATTAACTGGGAGAGCCAGGATGAAGAGTGGGAGAACAGGCAGTCTCCAGAGTGAGACTGGCATGGAAGATGAGCTCCCGGACCTTACGGAGCTGCTGGATGCAGCCAACAGCACACCAGTCAAACTCGACGCTGGAGCCGATGCGGTAGACACCAGAGCCAAGGACCATGACGTGAGTTGTCTGAAAGGGGAGATCATGGGTGTTGCCCCAGTAGGTCAGGTACAGGTAATTCGTCTGGGCCGGCCACTCGGCCGCAACTGTGTCGATCTGCTTCACCACTGGACAGATCCCCAGTTCCTGACGCAGCTTCCGAACAGCCAGCTCTGTGCTGAAGGAAAAGGATCAGAAACTCAGGCTCTAAGAGCAGGGTATTGGATAGAGGTGGGACCCCAGGGTAGGGATGAAAGAGGAAAGTGTCCAAGGACAAGGGTTCAAAGTCTCCAGAGCTCTACATCAAGGCACCCACCACCCAGGCCGAGGCCTCACCACCATCTCTGACCTCAGAACTGCAAGGGCGATCTGCTTGTCTGAGAAACCGAGGCGCTTGGCCTGGTGCAGCAGGTCTGGGGGCAAAGGCTGCCCACGGTGTTGCTCCAGGAGCTGGGCATGAGTGACAATGCGCTTCATTCTTTGCAGGAACCATCGGTCGATGCGTGTAAGCTCATACAGGCGGTCTACCGAGTAACCTGCCCACAGAGCAGCGGCCACCACGAAGATTCGCTTATCTGTTGGTGTCTCCAACTCCTGACAAGAGAGCGCAGTCAGATGAATGCAGGACTGTGCCACAGCAGGAAAAGCCAGGACATTAAACAAAAATATCCCCAACCAGGTAGGCATAGTGGCACACACGTGCAGTCCCAGGTACGTGGGAGGATGAGAACAGACTGGCCTGGAAAACATAGGAGATTCCACTAGCGCAAAACAAAACACTAAAAACCAACCTACTGTCACATGAGCCTGGGTGCTTAATTGTGACACTCTTAGGAAATAGAAGCTGTACCCACAGCACAGCCACAGCTGGGAAAACCTGGGTACGGCTTCCAGCTCTGCCTGTCACTAGCTGTGTGGCCATTAGCTCTGTCTAGAACTGCTCTAAGCCCTAATTTTCTCATTTATAAAAACAAATCTAATGATACATTCTCCTGTTAACAATGAATGAGCAAATGCCTCAAAATTCCCAGTAGAGTAAAAATAGCAAATGCTCCACAATGACCCCAGGGACTTATTGTCAACAAGCTCACAGCAGGGTGCAGCAGAGCACGGTGCCACTGGGGGTGTTGCCCTAGAGGGGAGCTGCTTACCATGTCGCTGACTGGCTTCACTGTGTGGTCAAAGCCCACGCAGTTCTCATCTACCATGCGCAAGGCCTTCTGGAAGGCCTCCTCAAACGAACGTCCAATGGCCATGACCTCCCCTGGAGGAAGAGGAGGGAGGCTGAGGGGTGGAGGGGAAGGCTCCTCTGCCCGGCGTGCTGCAGAACCTCTGCAGGCTTGCAAGGCGAGCCCCATGGCAGTGGGAAACACGGTTTCTCACTACTAAGAAATATCAACCTCACAGCTCTTCTACTGCTTCCACAGGTAGCTACAGGCTCCACACTCAGGAGGGGACACAGAATCAACATGCCTAAAATGCTATGTGGACACTGAAACAGTTGATTTATCACAGGGACCCAGATCACTGAGGGCTGTTGAGTTTAGTCACCAGCTTTCATTACAATATGACATTACTTGGGGTTGGTCTACCTCATTTTTTTTTTTTTGTCTTTTTCCTTTTTATCGGTACCGGGGATCGAACGCACGACTGCCTGCTTGCAAGGCTGGCGCTTATGCCACTGAGCTAAATCCCCAGCCCTACCTCATCATTTAGACCTTAAAAAATTGGGATTAGATTATGCTACTCCTTTTTGGGGGGAGTCTCTAGGAATTGAACTCAGGACCTTATGCTTGCCAGGCAGGCCCTGATATCACTGAGCTATATCCCCAGCCCAATTCCCTAGTCCTTAAAAGCACTTCACAAGTTTGCACTTTATAGCACAAAGTGTAAGTTTAAGCAATCTTCTAAGCAGTGGGCATACTCATTTTACATGATTATTACTAATAAACAAAAACTACTTCATTTTAACAAGATTTCTACTTAGTCATAAGAGGAAATGTTTTTTCCAGAGTATTTTAAAAAAATCATTTACTTTTCTATAGAGTTCTGTTCAGGTTCTCTGGCCATTTCCCTTTAGGGCTTCAAGTATTTATCAACTGTATTTTTCCACTTATAATCCTAACATTTGTATTTCTTAGAAAAAACTTTTTTAGAACAACAAGATACTGTGGCAGTGTTAGGGAAGTAGAATATGAATGATTTTAATTACACTGCGCATAGATCATAAAGCCTCTTCGTTAATTGACTTCTATAAGATTATAGGTGATCTCCTATGACAAAGTGATCTTTCCTCATTTTTCAAAGATTCGTACATCTTATGATGCTACCATACCAGAGTCTAGACAGGTTCCGAGCCTGCTGTTTCCTGTACCCGAGTTCCCTGGGCCAGGTGGGAGGGTTCGAGACACAGTACCACAGAGGGCTTGCTCTTCTCCATACCCACCAATCTAGGTCAACGTCCTCTTCAGTTATAAAAATGACTGAAGACTGTACACCAAGAATACTTGAATAGATGTAAAACATTTAAATGTCTCAGCTAGGCATCAATCTTTGTCCAATTTTCAACCCACTTCTTGTAGCCATAATTCAATTATGGCTTCATTCCCATGTTTATTATAATTTTCATATAACAGAAATTCATCTCCAGAAGGAACAACTTGGCAGTCTTGTGGGACTTCTAAAAATCCTGAAATAATATGTGAGCTCAGACTTAGTGAAAGGCCACTACTGTTCTAAGTAGAAGTTGTAGAAGAAACTCTTATCTGCTAAGCTGGGGGCACTTGGGTCTCATACTTGTCTCAGCTGAAATGTCTATCCAGGACAGTACAGGACAATTAAAAGGACATCACAAAGAAGCACCTCAGTCCCACCATGCTCCACTGCTGTGTGGTAGTGAACCGCCATACCCAGTCCTGTCTACCGACAGAGCTCCCTGTTTTATAAAGATCTCTGATGTTCTGTTCCGATCCTAACATTATCTAAAGAACATTTTATTCAGTGATGGAGGCACAAAGAGGCTAAGGCTGAGTTGTAACTGTGCTGAGTGTTCCCAAGAAAACAGCAGTAACAGTTCCCCTGAAACATAAACATCTCAACTATCAGTGAATAAAATGTCACTGGCACCAAAAAGCTAGTGATGAAGCTGTGGGCAAAATGCCACCAGGATGAGGAGCTGCGGGTGGTTTCACAACCTGGTCTATGACAGGTGACAGAAAACATGCAACCAGGAGCCAGCTCCAGGTCTTGGGTCCTGGCTCTGCCCACTACTCCGTGTGGCCCCTCGCTCTAGTCACTCTCATTCTATGGGAACTTTAATGTGCTCATCTGTTAAGTAAGAGAGGAGATAAGGCTGATGGCAGCACATGGCTCCAGGCTATTCCAACCCAGATTTCCACATAACTGTGAACCTCACTCCTGCCAAGAACAAGGCTCAGGGCGGGCGTGGTGGCACATTCCTGTAATCCCAGCACTTGGGAGGTTGAGACAGGAGGATCGCTGCAAGTTCGAGACCAACCTGGGGTACAAAGTGAGCCCAAGCCAGTCTGAGCTGCATAGGAGACCCTATCTCAAAAAAGGAAACAAACAAAAAAACGGATCAGGGTTGGGGTATAGCTCAGAGGATGGTTAGTTCAAGCTCACCCTGGGAAACTTAGTGAAACTCTGCCCTCCCACTGCAAAAAAAAAAATGCTGGAGATGTAACTCAGTGTGGGTTCAATCTCCAGTACTGGGGGGGAAAAAGAACAACTGCATTAATTTGATAAGCTAAGCTAAAATGCTCAGCCTCTATTAGCTGTTAGAAACCATGTTTCTAAGCTGCCGCAGATAAAGGAGCCAGGCACTGACACTGCAGACTCCTGGTCCCCACAGGGCCTGTAGGAGGACGCCGTGACATGATTCTTACCAACGCTCTTCATGCAACTCCCAATCTTTGTGCTGACACGCAGGAATTTGCTGAGGTCCCAGCGAGGAATCTTTACCACACAATAGTCCAGGCTGGGTTCAAAGGCTGCTGTTCCCCCTGTAACAGAGTTCCTAGGGCCAGGAGAGGAGCGTCCAGAAGGACAGAGAATAGCACACAGGGTAAGCTGCTTTCTCTCCACAAATCCAGGCTTTTCCTCAGCTCCCCACACCCCTTTAGCACCAGGAAACCTGCCACCACGTACCTGAGCTCAGGCAGGGGAATGCCCAGTGCCAGCTTGGCTGCTACGTAGGCCAGTGGATAGCCTGTGGCCTTACTGGCCAGGGCAGAGCTTCGGGAGAGCCTGGCGTTCACTTCAATGATGTAATACTGCAAAGAGAGAGGAGAGAAAGGTCACGGGTTGCCTAGCCTGGAAGCCCCTGCCTAGAACTCTCAAAAAGGAGAAAATAAGCCCTCCTCATAGGGATGGAGAGCACAAGGGCCCTGCCCAAGGCTCAGCCTTACAAAAGTGATCCTGGCTTCCACTCCAGGACCTGTGGACCAAAACACTTCTTAACCTTGAGGCTGAGAGATTATAGAAGAGGACACAGCTGTAGCACCTGGTCCAGAGCACAGAGCTCACCTGCTCGGACTCCGGGTTCAAGGCATACTGCACGTTGCACTCCCCAACGATCCCCAGATGCTGGGTCACCTTGATAGCTGTCTGCCGCAAGAACTGGTACTCTTTGTCATTCAGTGTCTGACTTGGTGCCACCACGATGGACTCACCAGTATGAATGCCTAGTGGGTCTAAGTTCTCCATGTTACATACCTGGGAAGGAATGGGCACAAGGTGCAGAGGTCACTGTCAAGGAGACAGGAAGCTGTATTCCTGGGCCACACTGCCTTGGGTTTGAGCCTCACCTGCATCTGAGGGTCACAGAACCCTCAGAGACCTCAGGTCTCTGCTCTCCCAAACGCTTACAATGCCTGAGCCGACGCACCCTCTGCCACTACTCACCGTCACACAGTTGCCATAGGCGTCTCTCACCACCTCATACTCAATCTCCTTCCAGCCCTTGAGGGACTTGTCCACTAGCACCTGGCTGGTATGAGCAAAAGCAGGGGCTATGAGAGCCGAGAGCTCCTCCTTCGTAGAGGCAAAGCCCGAGCCTAGGCCTCCCAGTGCAAAGGCTGCCCTCACCAGCACAGGGTAGCCCAGCCTTTCAGCAGCTGCCTGGGCCTGTAACAGAGGAAGAGATGAGAGGCGAGTCATCACCTGTCGCCCAAAGGGAGCTGAGAACCAGAGGAAAAATAATAAGATACAAAGAAAAGGACACTACCCTGCTTTAACCAACCACCCCTCGAACCTGCTCAAGAGAATGTGCTGCCTCACTGGGGGCCACGTGCTCGCCAATCTCTGCCATCCTAGCCGCAAAGGCACGTCGATCTTCAGTCAGTTCAATGGTTTCCACAGGGGTACCCAGCACCCGGACCCCGTACCGAGCCAGAACACCAGCCTTGGTCAGTTCCACGCCACAGTTCAGGGCTGTCTGGCCCCCAAAAGTCAGTAATATGCCATCTGGGCGCTCATTGCGTATCACCTGAGGCAGGAGAGGGGTCACAGGCACTAAGGACCTCGCAGCAGCTTAGAGACCCAGAGTGACCACTCAACCCTTCGCCTACTGGCCCCTCCCTGGTCCACTCGCACCCTGGTCATACCTGGGTTACGTAGTGAGGAGTTATAGGAAGGAAATAGACCTTGTCGGCCAGCCCCTGAGAGGTCTGCACTGTGGCAATGTTGGGGTTGATCAGCAGTGTCTGGATATTCTCCTCCTTCAGGGCCTTAATTGCCTAAGGAACAAGAGGCCCATCAGCCTCTACTGCTGAAGCGAATCTCAAAGCCTCAGGTCAGTCACCGTGTCTTCTCTTCTTTCCCTCATTGTATACTGCCTTCTGTTCCTTTCCACCTTTCGTGTGTCTCTAGACTCCCTGGTCCGTTGCCTCTCCATAATCAATGCTCCTATCTCAACCCTCCTCAACTCTATCCATGCCTACAGGTCACACACCTAGAAGGCCATCTCTTACCTGAGAGCCAGAATAGTCGAACTCTCCAGCTTGGCCAATGGAGAGGCCCCCTGAACCCAGGATCAGAACCTTCCGTAAAGGTGGAAGTCCAGAGCCAGAGGCAGGAGGTCCAGGGGGACAGAGGCGTTCAACCAGTCGCTCTCGGACTGTGGAGCCACAAAGTCATGAAATGTCAGCTGAGAGGGACACAAAGACTGCTAGACTGGATTAACTGAAGAATCTAAAGCAAATATGCATCTAAAGAGTGACAGAGAAAAGACGGGAACCCAGGGCTTGTGACCTTTGAGATCCTTTCAACAGAAAGAGTAACAACTATCTGGGCTTGGCTATCCTCTCTCCCATCCCGCTAACCGCCCCAACACAACACAGCCTTCGGAGTCCGTTCGCCTTACACTCACACTGGAGCCAGCCTGTGAGGCCACAACCTAACTCTCTTACGGTGCTTACCTGTCCAGCCTCCAGGGTTCCCAGCTACAGCTTCTGTCACAGTCTCCAGAAAGATATCAAAAAGCAGTTCCATATCTGAAGGGCCAGCGTGGTGCTCTGGGTGGAACTGGACACTGTTAAAGAGATTGCAGGAGGAAGCCCATCCCTGTTGTCAACACGCCACAGGCAGCCTCAGGAGCAGGGGAGTAGGGCAGAGGACACAGGTTCACTGCTGCATTTTACTTTCCCATTTTCAAGGCCCCCAGGGGTTCAAAGTGACAGGCCTGCACTCACCCTGCAGGATTGCCCTGGCTTACCTGAAAAATGGCAGGCTGTCGTGAACAATCCCTTCATTGGAGCCGTCATTGGCATTGGTGAAGAGAGGAGACCAACCTGCTGGCAGGGAGTCGGCTTCCACAGCAAACCCATGGTTCTGGGATGTCAGAAAGCAGCGTCCCAAGCCCACCAGCAGGCAGGGTTGGTTATGGCCTCGGTTCCCATACCTAGAAGTACAGGCAGTGAATCATAGACCCTCATTTCCCTGCTGTACCAAGCCTGGCTCTCTGGGTTTCATTATTTATAACACTTGCTAGCCCAGCTCCTGTTCTTCTTCCACTAACTCCACAGCCCTCTTCTGCTCCCCAGCACAATATTCTCTCCCTCCTGTCCCAAGTGTAGGCTCCTTCCTCTCCTCACAAGACTCACCTCATCTTGTATGTCTTGGCTCCAATGGCTAAGGCCAACAGCTGGTGTCCCAGGCAGATCCCAAAGACAGGTCGGGGATTAGGCTTGGCTAAGATACTGCTCAGTGTGGATACCACACTGGGGTAGGAGGCAGGATCTCCAGGACCATTACTTAGGAAGAGCCCCTCATACTCTGGAGTGGGTAGAAAAGATGAAATTGAAGACAAGATGCCAGGCATGGTGGGGTGATTTCCCAGCACTTGGGAGGCTGAGGCAGGATTGCTGTGAATTCAAGGCCAGCCTGTACTACAAAGTGAGTTCAAGGCCAGTCTAAAATTGCAATGAAACTCTATCTCAAAAAACACCAAAAAAGGGCCAGGGATTTAGCTCAGTATGGCACCTGCCGGGCAAATGTGAGGTCCTGAGTCGCTCCCCAAAAAAATCAAAGATAGGAGACAGGCCTGAAGCCCTCAACATGTAAATACAAGCCCTGATGTCCACTTTCATCACTGCAACTCATACTGACTTGCAACAACTGGGCTAAGGGACGAATCTTCCACCTCAGGTATCGGTCTGAGCCCTGGACATACCCTGGCTGTCTAATGCATGGTCCCAGGGCACTACAGTGACCTCAGCCCCACGCTGGCAAAGACATCGGATTTGATTGTACTTGAGGCCACAGTCCAAAGCAAGGATGCGAGGGGTACCGCCTGCATTGAATATCTGTGGAGTCTGAGGAATAAAGAGCAACAGTTAGCAGCTATGACCAGCAAATCTAAGATATGTCCACACCACAGTCCTTACTTTTGAAGCCCCCTGATTTTACCCCAAGTGTTTACCCAATTGTGGACAAAAAATTACTATGTTCCCCCTACAAAAGTTTCCTTCTCTTCTCTGTACCTTAGTGGAGACCTCTGGCACCAGAGGTTGGGCATTGGGGTCTAAGAATGGCAGGGATGAAGGCTCTGTCCCATTCTGGACCAGCTTTCCCAAGAGAGACCCTTGTTCACGCAACTTCTTGGTCAGCTCTCGAGTGTCTATTCCTGTCAAAAAAGCACAGCCTTAGAGATCACACTCCCAACTGAGTCACCGTACACTTCGAGGAACACTTCCAGTCCAGAGCCCAGGGTCACACAGTTGGTAGCAAAATCCTGGGCTATCCCGATGCAAGGACACTACAGCGCAGTATTCCTGCCAAATAACTGAACTGAACTCCAACTCTAAGCTGATTTAATCACAGAAAATAATTCCAATAGGAAAAAAAAACATGCTAAATGACACCATGTGAACAAAATAAGCAAAATGTGGACTACAATGTATTCCTAAGGAAAAAGGATTCATTTTCATCAAGCAGGGTACAGGGCTCACAGACTATGTGTAAGAGACATGTCATCCCAATATGCACTAAATTCAAATAAGCAGTAAAAATAGTTTTAGGTTATGGGGAGTATTTTCAACTGCCTGCTAAGGAATTTTTACACTGCATGATAATACTCTGGTCATGGTCACATGCTTAAAAGATTCTTTCTTCATAGATACTAAACTACTGTAGATAAAAGGATACGATGTTTAAATTTCATTCTGAAATAATCTAAGGGTGGCCAGGAGTGTGGTACATGCCTATAATCCAAGCTTCTTGGGCGGCAGAGGTAGGAAGATTAAAAAGTTTAAGACCAGCCTGGGAAACTTGGTGAGACTCAAGCGCTGGCGATGTAGCTCAGTGGTAGTGTCCTTGGGTGCCCAGATCCAATCACTAATAGTGTACCCAAAATTAAGTAAACAAACCTGAGGGGTGGTTAGCAGTGGTACTAAAATAAAGGTAGTTCTGAGTTGCTGATGGAAGCCGGGAGTTCACTATACCATTCTTTCTCTTGTATGATAAAAATTTTCCAACTGCACGTAGTTGTGTTTCTTTCCTGAAGCCCGGGACCCAATCTAAACTTTCCATACTTGTACCACAACTTTAGACTCCAGTTTCAACAGAGCTCCGAAAGCTGTCGATTACGTCCCTCTAAGCCGTGTGCTCCGCCGTGTGCACACCAGCACCTGGCAGCTTACCTTGAAGGCCAGGGATGCCATGCTGCTGCAGCCACTCATGCAGGGTGCGGGTGGCACTCCAGTGGCTTGGGCTGGGGCAGCACTCTCCCACCACCAGTCCTGCCACGTGGATCTTTGAGGATTCGAACCACTGCCAACAGGAGAAGAGATCATGAGGAACCAGGGGCCCACCACCTCCCTAAGGAACCACAAACTCTCCACCCAGCCGAGTTAACCCTTCAATACAGCACGCCCTTCACGCTCTTTGTTCTGTCCTACAGCAAACGCCGCATACATAGGCCCGGAATGCCCAAATGATAACTAAAAATGGCAATTTCATGTTTCCTTCCATCTCCAAATTTTATCCAAAACTGAGATCACAAATCCCCCTTTCTGTGAAGGCACCTCATTAATCTGCTGCCTCTTGTGCCTCCACCTAACAATTCAACTTTTTATCTCTATGTCTTTTTTGAACGTTACATTGTGTTATGTCTCTCTTACAAAACAAAGCCTCAAAAGCAAAGTGCCTGATACATGGTGTCAGTCAAGGAATATTTACTGAGTGCCCACTAAGTGCAGGTGTTATAACAGACGCTTGGTGTGATGGTGCACACCTGTAATCCCTGCACTTAGGATGTTGAGGCAAGAGGATTGTGAGTTTGAGGCCATTTTGGGCTACACAGTGAGTTCAAGGCCAGAGACTACACAGGAAGATCATGTCTCAAAAACAAACAACGCTAAGGAAAAAGCACTGAGCTGGAAAAGATATCCTAGGAAGCCAGAAACTAAATAGAAAAATATGTACATAAACCTTAATTATGGCTGAAGATTTAGCTCAGTGGTACAAGTACCTGCCTGGCAAGTGTGAGGTAAGGATTTTGATCCTGGTACAAAAAACAAAACAAAACAATCAACAAGAGATGTTAATTATGTGGTATGATAAAAAACACTAATAAGAGCTGGGTGTGGCAGTGCATGTCTAGAATTATTCCCAGCACTTGGGAGGCTGAGGCAGGAGGATCCTTATGAGTTCAAGACCACTGCATAGTGAGACGCTGTCTCAAAAAGACGAAAAACAAAAACAAAAAAATCCCCACTAGTAAGATAGTACAGGCTGTTTCTAAAAAGTAAAAGGGGCATGATATTAGACAGGATCATAGCCCTTTTCCACTTCACTTGGGACCGGCATTTAAAAAGAAATGATACAAACTTGTTAGTTACCAGACAAACATTTAATAACTAAAGAACAAGAAACTTACATGAAAAAGAGTAGCACATTCAGCTCAGTTGGTAAAAGGTTCACAGATGGATGCTGAGACTGCTCTTCAGGGACTGACGGGATATCTAGCAGACCCTTCTGCCCAGGCCCACCAAGTGGAATAACTCACCCATGCCCAAATACATTACAGCACATGTGCCACAGAAGCTCCAGGGTTGGGCCAGCAGCTCTAGAAGGCCTTGCTTATTACCCTGGCCCTATCAGGGTCTCAATTTTGCGGTTTTATAAACTCAAAATTTGTTGGTGAGCCCCGAGCTGACAAAGCTTACAACTGACATGTCAGCTAAATTTAAAACACATTAGCCGAGCATGGTGTCTCACGCCTGTAGTCCCAGCACTTGGGAGGCTGAGGTGGGAGGATTGTTGTGAGTTCAAGACCAGCCTGGGCTACAAAGTTAGCTCAAGGCCAGCCTGAACTGCATGGGGAGACCCCGTCTCAAAAAAGACAGAAAAAAAAAAAAAAAAAAAGACAGGCATTAAAAACGAGAATTGTTTATTTAGAGATTTATAATCAAGAAGTGTCCTTCCTCAGAATAATTATTGGGCCATTGGGCCCCTCATTTAAACAGAACTCCTTCTTCCCAGTAACAAGGTGACTAGAAAGCCAAATTAAGAAATACAAGGCTTAGCAAACTTGGAAGCAAGAAAAAGTAAGTTTTGAGGAATATAGACATTCCTTGTTTAATGATCAAGTTCCATTCCCACAACTAGGTCGTTAAATGAATTGGCCACTAAACGAGAAACTGCATAGTATGTATATCAGAATCTTCAGAACAAAGAAATGATCAAAGGAAACTCCACCTCAGTGACATTGCTTTTGTTTGCATAACTCTTCCACACAGTGTAACAATGTTTAACATAAAGTCCTAATACTGTATAATCAGCAAAAATTACAGTCCTGTGTAAGCAAGGTTTACTGTACAAAAAAGACATTCAGACTCCATAAACAAGATGTGCAGGAAAAAAAAAAAAAGACAGGTTGTGAGTCCAAGCAGCAGGTTTTAAGTCCAAGCAGTCCTTAAACTGGTATATCCTTAAGCAAGAAATACCTGTACTAAGACTAGGTTATGGCGACTTCTACTATCTTAACTACTATATGTTGACCTTTTAAATTTCAATTTTCAAAAGGCAACTGAGTTTTTAAATTCCAGAAGAATAGGAGTAACTTTTCTGTGGGAGGAAGCTCAACTTTCCTATGCTGAGGTGTAAGAACACTAATTAAAAGTAGAAAACAAGTCAGTGTAAAGAGTCTAGACGGCAGCAACAGACATCACTGGTTTTGTAGGTAAACCGGCTCCGCCGTCACTGGGAAAAATGTGATCTTAGTTTCTAGTCTCTTTCCCACTAATCTATGTAGTTGTACAGCACTGCTATCCTCAAATAACTCTGCTGCTAAAAACCCTTCCGCGCTTCCTTGGGGAGTTAAACCCAGGCTCTGGCTTGGTTTCAAGGCCCTCCGAGCTCTGACACCTAGCCGCAAGCTCACTGTTCCTTCAAACCCTTCTTCACTGCAGACACAGCACTGTGAAAGAGGGTTTGCCTCACAGTCTCCAGTGCTATACCTGGAGGGTACTCAGTCTAAATATTAGGTACTTAAATTCTCAGTCACTACTTTAACTCTAACTCTGTCTAAATATTAGGTACTTAAATTCTTACTCCCTACTGACTGCTTCAGCGGCTCTTGTTGTTACTATCTTGCCTTGCTAGTCTCAATAGTCACCCACTACTCATTCTGGGGGGAGGGAGGTTGAGACAAGGTCTCACTGTGCAGCGCAGACTAGCCTCGCTGGGCTCCTCCTACCTCAGCCTCCTAGTGATGGGATTATAGGAGAATACTAAGGCGCTGGTTTAACGTTACTGATTGGAAAAGGAATGCAGTAAACCGGGTGTGGTGGTGAACGCTTGTAATCCCAGCCCTCTGGAGGCTGAGGCAGGAAGATTATTCCAAATTCCAGGACAGCCTGGACTACACAGTGAGTTCCAAGCCGGCCTGACGTGCGCAGTGAGACCTTGTATCCAAAAGACAGAAAACAGAAGAGAAAAGAGAAAACACTGTGTGCGGCTACCTTGCTGAGGCCGAACTCATCCAGCTCATCGGAGGGGACGCCGTAGTTGCCGATCAGCGGATAGGTCAGAACTAAGATCTGCGCTTTGTAGGAAGGGTCGGTGAGGGCCTCGGGGTAGCCAACCATGCCGGTTTGGAACACTGTAAAAAGAAGGCGGGTTGGGCTGGGGCGAAACCCTGCGCGAAGAACACCCTACGGCAGGCTGCCTTGGTCGTGAAGGATGAAAGGGGCCAGGAGGCGTGCAGTCAGCGTCCCGGGCAGCACTGGCCGGGGAGAGAGCGGCACCAGAGTCGGGTGAGGCTGGAAGCCGGCGCGGGCTTGCTTACCCACTTCGCCTGCAGTCGACACGGCGGCCCCAAAGGGCCGGCCCTGCAGCACCGACCCATCCTCCAACACCAGGGCCGCCATGGGAATGCAGCCGGAGCGAAGACCGAGAGGCAGGAGCGCTGCTATCCCCACTGAAACCCCGCCAGAGTCCGTCCACGTGGCTCGCTGCGCGGGACGCTCGGGAAGGCGGGCGCAGCAGTCACCAGCCCCAGGAGCACTGGGCGGAGCAGCACTGCGGCGGCGCAGGCAGCCGGCAGCGTGGGGGCGGGGCCGGCGTGCGGGGCGGGGCCACGCTGCCCGGGGCACCCGCGTCCAGGAGACCTGAAAATCCCGACCGCCCAAGCTGAGCCCCTCTAGCGCTAGCCAGCGAGATGCGAGCTAACCGTGGAAGCGGTTTCCTAAAAATGAAAAAAGGCAAGGGAAAAAACCAAGTGTTTATTGTAGTCCACAGCACAGATGATGACTGTCCTGGTCCACTTGTGGCCCTGAGTGTCCACAATATCCAGGGTGGTACAGTTTTCCGTCTTCCTTCCAAAGCTGCCTCAGCCTTGAGAAGGTGCTACCGCCCAATGATGCCTGTCAGGGAAGCGAATCTCCCTGGCTGGGCTACGACTGATCAGGATGATCGCCGACCAATAGGAAGCCTTATTTGATTCATGAAGTCTTGGCTTTTCGGCGTTGAGTTCCCCAAAGCAGGAGGGAAATGGACAATGTGGTGGAGCCCAGAATCCCGAAGAACACAAGCAGCGGGAAGGAGCCCTGTGGTTAACGGGAGGAAAGTGTTACACAGAAGGCCACATCCTAACACCTAGTTCTTTCCTACTAACCTATAATTTTGTTTTGGTGCCAGGAAATTGTACTCATGACCTCGTGTTGGCCAAGCAGGCACTTAGGTGACTGACACCAGCTCATTATTTTGTAGTTCTTTCCTTTCAGAAAGATTCTTGCCTTACGAATTCCATTATCCTATTAAAACTATCTAATTCCTTACCTGGCGCATACACTTGTACCCGTGGAAGCCGTCAGTACAAATACACTGTGAGAGACCAGGACCGTCAGGCAGACAAGATCCATTTTCAGGACACATTTCTGAGAGCCAGAGAAATAAGAAACACCACACAATCTCATTAGGTACATTTCTCAAGAATCTGCTTCAACTTAAGAGTCTCTCAGTCATTTCTAGATCAAAAGAAGGTTACAAATACCTGAACATAACAATAATACTTTTTCAAGGAGTTAGGCTCTCAAAACTCTGAACAAAAAGCACTTAACCATTTTTATCTTTCTGACCTAAAGTGGAGAATATACAGAAGGAAAAGTTCCCAGAAAGGTGGACACCATACCTGGTTCCCCAGTGCTATTGCAAAGGTTCTTTTGCCCTTGGCAGATTCTGTTGCTTGTACTAAAGCTCACATTTTCCCAGGCATTATGACCTCCAGGACACTTAACAGCTCTTGGCAGTACCCTACAGACAATACAGATAGTCAGAACGTGCAGCCTGAGGGGCTAGGGGCGAGCAGCTAAGTGTAAGAACAAATGCTTAGCTTGTGTGAGGCCCTGGATTCAACGCCCCCCCCCAACCCCCAGCAGGCCAAAGGTACTGAATTTATAGCAATCTCTCTTTGGTTCTCTTCCACCAGTCTCTTACTCACAGAGTGTCAAGCTGTGTAAAGCCACGGAAGGTGTTGCCCAAGTCACCCTTCAGGGGGTTTGTCTGAAGGTCTCTGCAAAGCACACACTGTTAGGCCTCTGCTCAGGGAAACACCCTCTTTGCATTCACAGCCTTCCCGGACTGCTAATCCAGTCCTTTGCCCGAATTACCCACATTTCGACCTTCACGTTCACTGATCTCTTTAACAGTACATCCAGAGTCTGCCACCAACACTTTACCATATTCATCTTTGAGGCAGAAGGGCACGTAATCACTTACATGACAACAGCAGTATATGCCTGAGTAAAGTTTGGACCAGGATCCTCCAGAGAACAGTTGTGGAGATCCAGCCTGAAGAAATAAAGCAATGAGTGTAACTCTGTGTCTCTTTTTCATTCATGCCAAGCTTGTTTGTACTTGATTATGCAATCTCCTTTTAGCTAGTATTAATAGAACACTACAGTGTTTGGAGCCACGAACCAGGTGTATGGCAGACATTCTAATACTGTGCATTACCCAACACAGTCACATGGCATGACTTTAATCTGAAAATTCAGTTTCATTTGCACTAGTCACATTTCAAGTGCATGTGGAGCAACCACATTGGTGACTAGTGCTGGTCTGTACAGATACAAAACACCTCCATGATCATGGAAGCTTCTATTAAGAGTACACTGTTCTAACCAGTATACCTATGCGCTGCATGTATGCTGGAAGAAATTGTGTTTGTCTACATTAGTGAATCTTGTGATACTCGGCTCTGCAAGGGATAATTAAATGAAAAAAAAAAGGCAAGTCACATAAAATGTACGTTTTTCCAAATGCATCTTCTGGAGTTCGAGGCCATCCTGGGCTACACAGCAAGTGCAAGGCCAGCCTCAACAACATAACAGCAAGACCTTGGCTCAAAAAAGTCAAGGGCATCTGCTATCACAGTAAGCACCTAGACAACAAAGATCATGACACCTTACATTTTCAATATATACTGCTGTCCATTCCTTTATTTCACAAAAATTTAATGATTGTCTACACACTACAAAAACTTGGTAAGTATACAATATATGTAATTCAGTAGTTTACCCTTCCAGCGGCTTATAATGTGGTAGGGAAAAAAGATCATCCCCCAAACCAGAACAAAAATTATAATGTGGAAGAACCATAGGACAACTTATATAAAATTTGAGTACTATAAATGCTGAACATTATACAAGGGAAGAAGTTTTACTCCAGGGTTCAGTACTAGGGAACACTCACCAGAGATGTAGGAATTAAAGAATGGATATGTCCTAATTTGTCAGAGGAAAGCAATTCAGTATGAAAACAGGCCTGGACACAGAAACAAAACTGGAACACAGTTGGGGGTAGGCATATTAGCTGGAGCAAGACCTTTAAATGGAAGGCTTCGCTGGACAAGTAACTGGAATAATGCTGGAAAAGTGGGTTGTGACTAGTCATGCTAGCACCTGGTTTGAACTTCATTTATTTATTTACTGGGACAGAGTCACACTATATAGATCAGACTGGCCTTAAACTCACTAGGTAGCCCAGGCTGGCACTGAACTCGAGGTGATCCTCTTGCTTCCCAAGTGCTGGGATTACAGGCATGTGTCACCACGGCTGGCTAAACTTTATCTTTAGGACACGTTATAAATACAAGATTAAACTTTATCTTTAGGGGACAAGTTATAAATACAAGATTAAACTAAAGGAATTCTGGGTGTGGTCATGGTACATGTCTATAATTCTAGCACTTTGGGAGGTTGAGACAGAAGAATTGAAGGTTCAAGTTAAGCTTGGGCAAATAAAAAAAAGACATGAGAATAAAGCTCATGTGAAGACCCTATATTCAATCCTCAGTCCTGAGGCAGATTAGGGCAGGGTACTGACCAGGCTGGACAAGTGGGCAATTAGAGACCCAGAACACAGTTCCCAAACCCTGCACCTGGGACCAAGCAGAAAGCTCTATCTCCTGCAATCCCAGCACTTGGGATGCTGAGGCAGAAGGACTGCTAGGCGTTTGAGGCCAGCCTGGGCTACAAAGTTACTTGAAGGCCAGTCTGAACTGCAGTGCAGCCATGTCTCAAAAACACCAGAAATAAAAATGTGCTATTTTCATTTACACTTTGGGCAAAACCAAGTACTTTTGATGGGAATGCCTAGAGCCAACTCAGACTGAGGAATGACAGCAACAAAACACTGCTGCTTCCCTGCCATTCACCTCTTGGCCTCTGTGGACTCTGCTGCCTGCTCTCACTCTGCAGAGCACACTTCTTGATACCAAGAACCTGTGAAGAATTCCTCAAAATAATCTGTGGGACCCTAAAAGCTAGTAACAGTATCACCAAAAGAAAAAAAGATAGAAGCGTAGGAATATAGCTTAGTGATAAGAGTGCTTGCCTAGCATGTGTGAGGCCTGAGATTCCATCCCTAACACCACCACAAATAAAAAGACAAATTCTCAAAAAGGAATGAACAGCTGGACAGGCCTTGCTCATTAGAAATATTTCCTAGCCAGGTGACACATACCTGTAATCTCAGTTCAGAAGGGGGAGGCCTAAGGATTGGTGTGAATTTGAGGCCAACCTGGGGCTACATAAGTTCAAGGGCAGACTCAACTACATAGTGAGACTCTAATTCAAAAAAAATAGTGAACTAAGCACTGAATCCTAACCATTAGACCACTAGGGAGCATCAAAAGAATGAACTGAGAACTAAAATGCTAAGAAGTCAAGAAGAGGAATTTATTCCAAAGATAAGAAGAATTAACCAGAAAAGGAAGCAAAGCCATGTTAGCAATGTCTTCAAGGCTTGTAGACACTGAATCTGGAAACTCTTCTCCTGCTTCCAAGTGTAAAAAATATTTTATTTAGTTACCTTGTGAAAAAGGCACCTAGCTAGGGAAAGGGCCCAAGATACAGCTGGATGATCTGCCACATTGCTAAGAACTAAAATAAAAATAGGCAGTGAACTAACACTTTGGGCCAAGAAATAACTTCTCCACTAAGCTCCTGAATTTAAAGAACTTAAAATGCAAAATAACTAAATCCTCTCTAAAAGCTCAGTTTCCTTTAAACCCCACAGATTGAATAACTGGGTTAGGGAGCATGAGTTCCAACTGGTCATTTTAAATTCACAAAGCCACCTGTGATAAGTAGTAACTAAACAACTGAACAATTCTTATGTTCTACTTATCCATAAAAAGTTCTGGGTTGAGAGCCACATGGAGATTCCATTTTTTGGATTCTCCTCCAGGAGAAACCAGGTGCCTTTAAAAAAAAAAATCCTTAGTTCTAATAAAAACTCTCCTAACTTCCTCCTTTTGGTCTGAGACTCCATCATTCAATTTTCCAGAAACCATGAGCCATGAGCTCTATTCGTATTGAATTGATTCACAAGGATGTCTTCTCCTCCCTCACCCCAAGATGGTGCCCTTCCAATTCGTGCAGCAGCGGGCTTGCAGCGTTAGGTTTGATGAGTTATTACAATAAAGGGCCACTTGTGACAAATTTTGCACACTCCCCGGACACTGGGTGCATACCTGCAGAAGACAAAAATCTTATTAGGACTCCTCCAAAAAGAAAAGTCAGAATTAAGAATTGACAAATTCTTAATTCCTCTAACATAGAGCAGAGAGATGGCTGTGTCATACATTAGGCCAGAATAGGTCATGCCATTAGTTCCCCCAGTCAGACACAGAATCAGCACTCCACATTCAGCACCAGTCCTCGCCTAAGGAAGGTTCTCATCTTTGAGAGTTACTAGTCGAATATATTTACTATGCCTTCTCCAAAGACTTCTCAATCTGACAGCCCCGGATTGGCCAGGTGTCAAAGGCTGTAGGTACACAAAGAACTCAGCAAGCATTACCGGGTTCAGTTCTACCGCAGACCAGGCACGGTACCGTGCATGGACAGCTCGCAGAAGGGCCACAGGACGTCAGGAGATACAGTTAAAGTTACTCAAAGATTAGGGAAAGAAGAAATTAAATTGCAAAGGTCTTTGCGGGCAGGGCGAGGGCTCCGGATGTCTGGGCAACGGGAGTACTCAAGAGCAAGGATGGCATGGCCCTGCGGTTTACAGGCTTCAAGAATTAAATCTGAGTTTGAGGCCGGCAGAGGAAAAGGAGCAGCTGTGGGCGAGCGCGACACAAGGCTGCCCAGAAACCCTACTTCAGCCCAACCACAAATTGATTTCTGTACCTCCGGTAGCGCCAGGCCCCTTTCCACGCACAGAGCGAGGAGCAGGGCCAGAGCCCAGCGTACCAAGTCGATACCACTGCCAGGCTCGCGCGGCGCCATTTTCGGATCCCTTCGACCTTGACAGCTCGCGAGAGCAGCGCGCGGCCCCGCCCCCGACGCGTCACGCCCTGCGTCCTGGGGCGTGGCCTATCGGCCCGGCGCTGTCACCTCAGGGCGTAGTTTAACCCGCCCAACTCTGGACCTCTAAGCTGGCGCGGAGAGCGCCCGTCTTCTCGCTCCCCGACCCGCTTTCGGAATGGACACGCACATTGCCCTATGGACTCGCCCTTCTTTTTGCTATACTGGGGGTTAAACCTAGGGCCTTTCCACTGAGTTACACCCCCGTTCCTTGTTTGGAGATAGCGTGTCGCTGAACTGATCAGGAGGAACTCGTATTTGCGATCTCATGCCTCAGCCTCCCCATCCCAAGAGTGCTGAGATTACAGGCGTGCGCCACACCACTGTCCCCTTTTAGTGGAAGCTCCTCCGACGCTAATCAGCAACTCTGAGCCAAATGCAGGCTCGTCAACCCCGCGTTCTGCGACTCGGGCCCTCTCACCTGCCCTCAGTAAACATGGCGGCGCGGTAGCTGGGGGCGGGGCCTCGCTGTGGCTCACCCGAGACCCAAGCACCGAGACCCCGCAGGTGGGCTTGGCGGGAATGGGCGGGGAAGGAGACGCTCATCCGATCCGCCCGGGGGTGGGAGGGAGGCGGGGACGGGCGGAGACATCCACGCCCCCTCGCGGGATTCGGGTTGAGCCAAAGGGGCTTGCGGCGCGGTGGAGGACACAGCACGTGTGCAGAGAAGAGGGAAACCTTGAGCGGTAGAGGGTAAGGGTGATGGAGGAGCGAAGAGCGTAGGGCGAAGGGCAAACAGCGGAGGACGCGAGCCTGGGCACGCCTGGAGCGCTAAATCGGGATCCCCGCAGCACGAGACCGCGCCGCGCCCGGGAACCTGGCGGAGAGGTGGGGACGGGACAGGCGCTTTCAACTCCTCGTTCCTTTCCTTCCCAGGGAAAGGCAGCGATGCTGATCTCGGGAGGGAAAAAAGAGCCTTTCTAGCCCTAGTAGCCCCGGCGGAACCACGGAGGTAAGGCGAGGAGTGCGGTCGGTCCTAAGGCGCCCGGATCCGGACTGCAGGGCGCCGGGGCTAAGTGTGGGCTTTGATTAGGGTTCTCCAATAATCCGTGGAACCAGAGTTCGTTTCGAGCAGCCAACCCAGGCTTCCCTTTCACAGTCTCCCAGGTGTCTCTCTGGACTCTCTAGTACTTATATTCAGCTAGTTGGCCGTTTATTCATTTCTTTATTGAGGCGTTGAGGATTGAACCCAAGAAGAAGTAAGCTCCGTGCCTAGCCCCTTTTTTTTATTGTTTGGTTTTTGTTTTTGGTTATTTTGTTTGCAACAGAGTCTCACAATGCAGTCCAGTGTGGCCTTGAACTCGGTATATATCCCAGGCTGGCCTCAAATTCCTTTAAATCTTACTGCTTCAACCTCTCGAATGCTGGGATTATGCATAGATTGCATGCACTACCACACTATAAATTAGGTGGTTTTAAAAGGTCCCTCACCCAGCTGAGTGTGGTGGTGCATGCCTGGGGCCCATAATCTCAGCATTCAGCTAAAGTGGGAGAATCACTTCGAGTTTGAGGCCAACCTGAACTACACTACAAAGCAAGACCCTGTCTCAAAAAACAAAACAAAACAAAAAAATTAACAGGGCATGTTGGCAGGGGCCTATAATCCCAGCACTTGGGAGGCTGAGACAGAAGGATCTCTGTGAGTTCAAGGCCAGCCTGGGCTACAAAGGAAGTTCAAGGCCAGTTTGAACTGTGTAGTGAGACCCTGTCTCAAAAAAAGACAAAAAAAAAAAAAAAAAAAAAGGCTGAAGATACAGCTCAGTGGCACAGCATCTGCCTGGCAAATGCAAGGTTGTGAATTTGATCCCTGTAACCAAAACAAAAACAACAGCAACAACAACAAAAAGCCCAAAATAAAGTCCCCCACCACCTGTACGCGACCTTGTGTTTAAGTTTTAGTGAAACAAGGCAGCTTTTCCTTTTGGCTCCCTAACTAAGAGAGGCTAGTCTGATGGGCCAGTGTAGAATTTTTAGAAAGCTGCTCTGTTCCTAGAATTGAAACCAGTCTGATGAAGGTATTGTTACAGGGTTAGATTTTTTCCTGTCTTGCCTGGTTCTCTCTTCAGTTATCCAGGAGATCCTCTGTACCTTATGGAAAGAGCTCTTTATCCAGAAGCCCCATTGTTTTCCTCCAGTAGTAAACAGTCCCACAACTCTGTACTAGGACTTTTCTTTCTCCAGCCACCTGTCTGTCCACCACTAATCCTTCAGTGCCACATGCTTTTTTTTTTTTTTTTTTTCTTTGAAATAAAATGGACATGCTCTTATGTTTTGGTTTTGTTTTGTTTTTTTGGTGCCAGGAATTGAACTCAGGACCTTGTGCTTGCCAAGAAGGTGCTTGTGCCATTGAGCTATATCCCTGGCTCAACCCCACACTCTTCTGTGCACACAGCAGGTATTTCTCATACTCTGCAGTAGTTCTGATCATGTCTGTCAGGGCAGTAAAAGGTTGCCGAAGAGGCGTGAAAAAGTCAAGGTGTTGCACTACGCAAAGGCCCAGGCCACCTTTGGCTTCAAGGGTGGGAACCTTGCTGTAGGGGCTAGCCTTTGGGACGGCAGCCCGAGTGATCACACACAAATCACCAGCTGCGATTTCCCTTCCTTGGCTCCAGCAGGTTTAGAGTTGAGGTTTAGTCAATGTGAAGCCTGACTTGCCAGTTAGGCAGCATCTGCCTGGGTAGACTCTGCCGGAAGACAGCTACTCTTTCTCCTAGAAACTGGGGCTAGAAGATAGAGTTTGTATTAATCTGCTCCTAGATTAAAGTCTAACCTGAGTCCTTGAATGAATATCACAAACACTTGGCTTCTGTCCTGGGCATAATGAGGGCAGCGCAGGGTGAATTATGGTTGTTAGTTAATTGTTCGGAATCACTAATGTTTATAAAGCATTTAGCACACTGTTGGGTTACATAGCAAGTGTTCAGAAAATGTTAACTGTCATTACGTTAGGCTGTCTGCACACATGATACTTAGATATTCTCTGGTATTTTTTTCTTCATACCAATAAGTACTCCTAGGGCAATGTGGCGAACCTTGTAGAGCTTCTAGTGATACAGATAGCCTGTTTGTGACATGTGTGCAAGGGTTCACCACCACTGCTCTAGGGGACCCTGAAGACAACATGATATATAGATAGAATGGAATGGATGAGAAGTCCCTCCACCTGGATTTTAATCTATCTCTGCTCTTGGAAAGGCCTCTTGAGTGAAATGGGGGCAAGAAGGGAGCCTATAAGAGCAACGTCCTAAGAGCTTTTTAGGTTTTGAGAAACTGCTTTGCAGTCTCCTGCTTCTTCCCCTGAGAACTGTGGTGTTCTCGGAGAATCACCATTTCTTGTACGGAAATTGCAAAGGCAACTTTTTGGGCTTCTCAGTTCCTCCTTTCCACTTCCCTCCAGCATGCATGTGCTAATTGTGATTTAGACTGCAAGCCTAATCCATGTAGGAATGCTGTTGGATGGCGCTCCCTGCGTGTCTCGCTGTAACTGCTAGGATGTTGGTGGCTGCAGAGTGAGAAGGCCTTTGGATCCTAGCGATTGGTTCCCGAAAGGGCCAGGAGAAACAGCTGCTGAGCTTTCCCCTGCCCAGATTCCTAATCCTCTCCTCAGCCACTTACCCTTAGTCTCTGCCCAGCGCTGCAGTGCTCTGCCTCAGAACAGGGATTGCTCCTTAGGTAGGAGTCTGCCCTCTGAAATGGGACTGCTGTGGCTGGCTGGTTTCTCTCCAGAGCGCTCCCAGAATCTTAGCTTTGAATCACTGGCTCCAGCATGGTACTGTAGCACTTACCACTTTTACTTTTTAAATTTCGGGGTGCTGGGATTGAAGGGCCATGTGCTTGTTAGGCAGACACCCTACCATCGAGCTGAATTCTTGAATCTGCCCCTCTCACTTTGGAATATTTGCACTCTTTTTTTGTTTGTTTGATTTTTGAGAAAGGGTCTCATTGTATGGTTCAGGCTGGCCTTGAACTCACTAGGTAGCCCAGGCTGGCGTCAAACTCCCAGTGATCCTCCTGCCTCAGCTTCCCAGAGTGCTGGGATTACTGGCTGTGATGTAATCCCGGTGGAGAGGCTGCTGGGCTCATCTGGTAGTACTGGAGAATGTTAAGAAAGGGCCCATCTGGGCACATGCCTTTATCCCAGGACTTCAGAAGCCGAGGCCGGAGGATCAAGAGTTCGAGACCAGCCTGAACTATGTAAATAGGGAGACCTTGTGTCAAAAACCAACAAAAAAGAAAAGAAAAGCAAGTGCCTGGGGCAGTCAGCCTGCTAATGCCTGGCATGGAGTTGGAGGAGGCTCTCTGGTGCCCAGTGCTGAGGAGGGCTGTGGTTAGGAAGGTGACCCTGGGGAACGTGGGAGCTCAGGGAAAGCAAGGGAATCCCTGCTGTGCTCACCTGTTTCTTCTTCCCCTTGAGGCTGTGGCACCAGGCTGGGGTCTGCCGGCCTAATGTGTAGTGACCTGGTCTGTGCCTACGAGTGGAAGCCAAGAAGTCTGAGAGCTTAGGCCAGAGTTGGTTTTTCTTTTGCTTCTGAGGGTGGGGCGGATGGGGGAGGCCCAGGAATGTTTTGGATTTCACAGTTCTGTGCACCCGGAGGTTCTGGCCAAGTTATTGTCTCCTGGCTGTCTCGCTCTGCTGCTGCTTCCCTCCTGTCTCACCCACCAAACCCCACGGAGGCCTTCCAGGGCCGTCCCACCATGCTGGCTGGTCTAAGTCTGAACGGCCTGGTATGACCCAGGCCTGAGGGTAGACCGACAGTCATGAAGGTGAGGTAGGCCTGATTGGGAACTGACTGTCCGCAGCTCTCTGCACCATGTCCCTGGGCGATGGAAGATTGTGACACGGTGGCTGGGAGCCAACTTGTAGCCGCTTGCCTGCTCCTGCCCAGCTGAGATCGTGAACCACTAGGATCACAGGAGCAGTGGCTGGCTCCAGAGTGCACAGACGGGTGAGGATGAGCATGAGCGAAGCGGGGAGCACCTCAACCCCGATCCTCACGAGTGCGGACCCATCCGGCGCCACCCCCGTCTTCTCGATCGTGGACTATGTGGTGTTTGCCCTGCTGCTGCTGCTCTCCCTGGCCATTGGGCTCTACCATGCCTGTCACGGCTGGGGCCGCCATACCGTTGGCCAGCTGCTGATGGCGGACCGCAAAATGACCTGCTTCCCTGTAGCACTGTCCCTGTTGGCCACCTTCCAGTCAGCCGTGGCCATCTTGGGCGTGCCGTCTGAGATCTACCGGTTTGGGACTGAGTATTGGTTCCTGGGCTGCTGTTACTTCCTGGGGCTCCTGATCCCTGCTCATGTCTTCATCCCTGTTTTCTACCGTCTGCACATCACCAGCACCTATGAGGTGAGGGGGAAGGAGGAGCGGGGAAGAGGGCAGGACATGTTTGAGGGACTTGGGACCCCACATCACCCCTGCCTGAGGAGAAGGGCGGGAAACTCCACCGAGTTTCTCGGCTCTTCCAGGCTAGAGGGTGGGGGGTGGTGTCGGGAGAGGGCTGCACCGAGGGGGCCACACAGATATGCAGTGGACATTGCCAAGGGTGACGGAGTCAGGAGTAATTCTGTACCTTTCCCCCTTGTTCCTGCCCAGTACCTAGAGCTCCGATTCAACAAAGCAGTGCGGATTTGCGGAACTGTGACCTTCATCTTCCAGATGGTGAGTGGAAGGTGCAGAAATGGAGCCAGCGCCCGGATGGGGGATGCTCTCAGACAGCAGTGCTGAAGTTCCTGGGAGGGGTCAGTGTTAGTAGTGAGTAGTGACAGCGCACAGCCCCTTTGGCACCCTCATCCATTGCCACCACGGACTTGGTGGCTAAAGTAAGCCAGACTTAGGACAGAGAGCGGAGAGGGACGTGAGCCTGGGTGAGAGGAGGATCTGCAGATGTAGCTCTCACATCCTTTCCCTTATTGAACAGGTGATTTACATGGGGGTTGTGCTCTACGCGCCGTCCTTGGCCCTCAATGCAGGTGAGGAGTCACAGCCCCTGGCTTCCAGCTGTGGCAGGCTGGGAAATACGTGTGGGAAGGGCAGTGTGCCAGGAAGCATGGCCCTAGGCAGGGAGTTGATTCACTGCATGCGCTGCTTGGGTTGGTCTCCACCAGAGGTGGAAGCAGGCATAGTTTGAGAGTTGATCAGACGTTAATTACCATGCTTCGTGCTCGCGGGCTAATCCACCTCTCTTGGTAGACCTCTGCACACATTTCCCCATCGTGGTAAGTGATGTATTTCATGTTTAGGGACTACTTGCTTCATCTCTGTGATCTGCCATCTCTGCCCCCATCAGGACTTCTGCGGCTTCTCCCTTGGGAAGCCTTCTTTGTGATGGGAGTGTAATTTCCCTCTGTTTACAGTGACAGGCTTTGATCTGTGGCTGTCAGTGCTGACCCTGGGCATTGTCTGCACCATCTACACTGCCCTGGTAAGTGCCCTGAGCCCTGAGGAGTGGAGAGGAGATGGGAGGAGAAGAGAAAGACTGGGATGTAGGTGGACGCCAGGTGTGGTGCATACACCTCTAATCCCAGCTCTTGGGAGGGAGGCTGAGCCAGCAAGATCACCAAGAGTTCAAGGCCAGCCTGGACTACATAGTGAGAGCAACCTAAACCACATAGCAAGACTATCCCAGACAGAACAACACAGTGTATGTAATGTGTAAGAATATAGATAGGAGATAGAGTGAAATTCTGTGTAGAGTGGAGAGAGGTGTAATTGAGGATGGTGCATGGGAGAGAGGGTGGCTGCAAAAATAGAGGACAGATGAGAATGAAGCTAGCCGTCTCAGCGCTGCTGGCCCTGATGGCAGGGAAGCCAGCCCCTTCATGTGGTCCAGGGGTGTCCTCCTTGTGAACGGTCTGGGAGACACTTGTGGCCAGTGTGCTGTCTTTTCCCTGCAGGGTGGGCTGAAGGCTGTCATCTGGACAGATGTGTTCCAGACACTGGTCATGTTCCTAGGGCAGGTGGCTGTTATTATTGTGGGGTCTGCCAAAGTGGGCGGCATGGGGCGTGTATGGGATGTTGCTTCCCAGCACGGCCTCATCTCTGGGATCGAGTAAGTACCACCTTCCCCTGGCTGGGCTCTGCAGTGCCTGGAACCTGAGTCTGTCCTAGAACCCAGTGTCAGGAGCTGCAGTAAGCAAAGGGCAAACTAAAAAGCCCCGGGCACAATGCTGCATGGGCAAGAAGCTGGCACTGCAGAGGGACAGAGATCACAAGTGGCCAGCTGGTGTTTGTGGAGGATGGGGGTGAGGACATGCGGTGAGGCTGGGTGGAGAAGTGGAAGCCTCCCTTTAGCTCGCTGTATTGTCTCTGGGTCTACCCAGCTTCTTGCAGTTAGTAGCTCCCTTTGCCTAGGAATGGTGTCCAAGCTGCTCCTCGCTTACCCCTCTTGGTGGGAGAACAGTATGAGGCTGTGGCACAGTGACTAGTGGTATCTGTTGCAGCCTGGATCCAGACCCCTTTGTGCGGCACACCTTCTGGACCTTGGCCTTTGGGGGCGTCTTCATGATGCTTGCCTTGTATGGAGTGAATCAGGCTCAGGTGCAACGCTACCTCAGTGCCCACACCGAGAAGGCTGCTGTTCTGTGAGTGCAGGGGCAGGAAGCCGGGGCAGGGATTAGGAGGGGAGCCCCAAGGGCAGTTGGGGTGGAACAGGGTGCGCCTGTGTCCACTGGGGCTAGCACATGGGCCTCCTTTCTGAAGGAGCAGGAGGACAAGCCTGAATGTCTCATCACTGTTCCTCCCCAACTCTGGCCTCCTTTGTAGTTCCTGCTATGCGGTGTTCCCCTGCCAGCAGATCGTGCTCTGCATAAGCTGCCTCATTGGCCTGGTCATGTTTGCCTATTACCAGGAGTTTCCCTTGAGCAGCCAGCAGGCTCAGGCATCTCCTGACCAGGTGAGAAGGCCTTGCTGGCTCCTTCCTGTGCACCTGAAAGGCCACCCTGGGACCCCAAGTGGAGTGTCTGGATGACTGCAAAAAGGACCAGCCTCCTGGGCAGGTGGTAGATATGTAGCCTCTCCCATGTTGAGATTCCAGCAATCTAGCGTGTCACATACCAGCCCCGAAACCTCTTAACCAGTGCTCACCCGACTTGGGAGTGAGGACCTAGGTTTATTCACTCCACCATATGCACCATGTGCTCTGCTGGGAGCTGGCACATGTCTGTGCGCACGGAAGCCTCCTGACAGTCTGACTTTACAGCAGAGAGGCTTAGCAGGGTGGCCAGGTGCCGATGTCACACTGCTGGTCAGGGCAGAGCTGGGGTGTGGGTGGTGTCATTCTTTCCACAGAGCCCATTTTCTCTGCATGTTGGGGAGGTCCCTGGACTGTGTGGGGATGGATAGACCACAGCGGGAGCCACCCCTGAAGAGAGCTGTGCTCTGCTCTGCCTGCAGTTTGTCCTCTATTTTGTGATGGACCTCCTGAGAGGGATTCCGGGCCTGCCTGGACTCTTCATTGCCTGCCTCTTCAGCGGTTCCCTCAGGTACCCCTTCAACCAGTTGTCTTGGGCACAGTATGCCAGGAGAGGTGGGCAGGGAGCCCCGTGCCATCCATTGCCACCCATGGCGGTACTAATCTGTGGAGGACAGAGCACATCCCCTCCCAAGACATGCACCTGTCTCAGTTAAAGGTCATTTTCCACAATACCAGGAATAAATCCAGTTGAACGAACTGAACTTTCGTCAGAAAAGAATATCGTCTTTGTCCCCCAGGCCTCCTTGGAGGTGGCTGTGTCTGCAGCTGTGAGCATGGTTTCTTGGCTGCCCACACCATCACTCGGGCCTTTAGGATGCTGTTCCCTCTAGGGTCCCCTCTTAGGTCTGCTCTCAGTCCCCCAAAAGCATCACCACTTATCATTCTTTTTTTTTTTTCCTTTCCAGCACCATATCCTCTGCTTTTAATTCATTAGCAACCGTCACAATGGAAGACCTGATTCAACCCTGGTTCCCTAGGTTTTCTGAAACCCGGGCCATCATGCTTTCTAGAAGCATCGGTGGGATTATGTTTCTGTATACCCTTGATTTTTGTTCTGAGATACCTCCTGACTGTTACTGTCAATTTGCAGTAAAAACCCACTTAGTCCTGGGCCCAGCATTTGCCTTTTGCAGCTGGCAGCTTCACTCTGTAGCTGTTTGTTATGGCTTTGCGTTTCCTGGGGAGGATTCTAAGTCACATGGGAGTGAGGAATGGTGGAGGGGGAATTGGGGCACAGAGTCGTAGGCCCTCTTCCCAGGGACATAGAGCCTTGGCTTGGGGAGGTTGCCCACTTTCTCTAGTGTTTATTCACATCTGTTTGTTTCTTCACTCCACATTTTCCCAGCCTTTGGCTACGGGCTGCTTTGTTTGGGAATGGCCTATATTTCCTCCCATTTGGGACCCATGCTGCAGGTAATGACTCCCAAAAGGAAAAAGGATTTGGTAAGGGGGGGAAGGAATTGATTGTAATAGGAACTTGAGGACTGCATCTGTGTCAAGGGGGACTGGCTTAGGGGTCAGGGTCAGAAATCCCCCTTTCTGGAACACCTTTACCTATGAAGAGACTCCCAAGTAGTCAAAATGCCCAGATGATGTTGCCTCCCAGATGCCAAGTCACCAGCCTCCAGGGAGGCTGAATGCCCTTAGCCGTTGCTGCCCTCTGGAATTGACCCAGACAGCAGAGCCAGCGAGGCGGAGACTTTCCCTCATGACTGAGCTCTGTGTCACTAAGGCTGGGTTCCCCAAGCCTGGGTATTCTTTCATTCTTTTTTTCTCACTTGACCTTTCCAGGCAGCGCTCAGTATCTTCGGCATGGTTGGGGGGCCGTTGCTTGGACTCTTCTGCCTTGGAATATTCTTTCCTTGTGCCAACCCTCCTGTGAGTAACACATCTGCTTCCACAGTCCCATGCACAGGGTGCTTCTGGGAATTACTGTCAAGGTTTGGTGAGTTGGCCTGCTGACAGGAAAACCTGCCATGTCTCTGGCAGGGTGCCATCGTGGGCCTGTTGGCTGGACTCATCATGGCCTTCTGGGTCGGCATTGGGAGTCTGGTGACCAGCATGGGGTCAGGCACAGCAACCTCTTCCCTTAACGTGTCCAACTTCTTGCCCAGCAATCTGACCAGCGCAGCTGTGACCACCATGGTGCCCTTGACCAACCTCTCCAAGTGAGTTGGGGATTATTCCTTTTCCACTTGGGGCAGTAGCTCGATGATTTGTTCGTTCCAGGGTTCCACTTGCAGTTCAGGCTGACCTTGAATGCCTGCCTCAGCTTCCTAAGCGCTGGGATCATAGGAGCGCACCAACAGGCCCTAACAGCTTCCTTTTGAGAGACTTCACAGGGTCCTTGCAAAGGGGTCAGATGCCTCAGAGAAGTGTTGGGTTCTAAGGCCAGAAAAGTGGGTGGAGCCCAGAGCTTGAGGCTGTCCTGTGACACATTACTAACTGTCCTCATCCCTGTGCTCTCCCAGGCCCAGAGGCTTACAGCGCTTCTATTCCCTGTCGTATTTGTGGTACAGCGCTCACAACTCCACCACTGTCATCGTGGTGGGCCTGATCGTCAGTCTGCTCACTGGTGAGGGGGTGGGATCACTGCACAGAGGAATAGAGAGGGGTAGAGGGAGTCGCTGGGTGCGGGGCTCTGTCCTCGGAGCCCTTGGGGGTTGGGAACAGCCAGCTTCCCTGCCCAGAAGCAGGAGGTGGGCAGGGCTGCAGCCTTGGGCACCCAGAGGCCTCCCTGTGCTGCAGACTCAGAAGCACCTTTCCCTACAGGGAAGATGCGGGGCCGGACCCTGAACCCTCAGACCATTTACCCCGTGCTGCCGAAACTGCTCGCCCTCCTCCCCTTGTCCTGTCAGAAGCGGCTTTGCGGCAGAAGCCACAGCCAGGTGGGAACCTCTTTCACAGGATCCCTCCTTTCCGGCCAGGTCCCCTTCATCCCCTTCTGTGTCCCCTGTGCCCGGGCCCCGGCTCTCGGACCATCTCCCACAGCAGCCACCCCAGCCTCCACACACAGGGCGGGCTGTGCTGCTTTGGGGGTCAGAAGGCTCAGGGCTTGGCCACTCCACAGCCCCCCAGCCCTGCTCCCCAACTGTGCTCCTCCCTTCCCTCCTCCCACGCCCCCTCCTGGCCTGGCTCTGCGCCTCCCCTCCTGCATATGTGACTCACCACATCCCCACCTTGCTCTGCACCGTCCCCAGAACGCCTCCATGGACACCAGCCTGTTTCCAGAGAAGAAGCAGGGTGTGCTGCAGGACGGCGGGGACAAGTGGACAATGGTTGAGGACGGGCCAAGCCAGGAGGGGCTCAGTCCCTCCTTCATCCTCCAGGAGACCTCACTGTGATGGGGACTCCAGCGGCTGTGGCCTCTGTCCTCACTGCCAAGCAGCCTCCAGAGGCTACTTGGTAGCCTGAGGATGAGTCCCCTGATATGTTGTTCAGATTGACTGTGACCTGGCCCACACCAAAGCACGCTGCTCTTAAAGATTCCCACCAGTAGAAGAAGCTGTTGCACCTTGGGCATGTGTCCCTTGCTAATCTGTTCCCTAGAGGACCAGGCTGCAGGCAGCAGATCATGCCAGAAATGGGAGTTAGGAGCCAGTCCTCTGGGAAAAGGACAATGGCGTCAGAGTCAATGTGGCCAGGTCCTTCGCGTGAGCATAACTGGCTGTGGGGTTGATTTGGCAAGACTGACTGGTGCCACTGCTTCCCTTCTCATCCCGTCTTGGCACCTAGTCTGTCAGCCACAGTGGCCCTGTGATTACTTCCTAGCTGTCTGTGACCCCCAGGCTCCTCTCACTTTCTCTGCCTACCTCCATTCTTGAGAGGAGGGAGGTCTGTTGTCCCAGTGCCTCTCAGAATAGACAAGTACATTTTATCTGCTTCATGTCCAGCAGGCAAGTTCTCCATGTTACCAACTACCTTCTCCACTGCTAAGATGGCCACCTGGGGACAGGGGAGATGTGGATCCGAGGAACTAGGACCATGACCGGGCCCTCTGTGGAGAGTGCCATCCTCCCAGCTCCTGAGCCGGGCCCCTGGTGTTGTTCTGTCATACATGCTCCTATTTGCTTTGGAGTTTCTTCCTCATGTATCTTTGTTCCTAAGGAATAAAAATAGCCATTGGAGCTGGGGGCAGGCCTCCTGTACTCTCTGCTGCTGTCCTTGAGGCCGCCACCCCTGGAGCAGGCGGCCCCTCCCATGTGGGGGGTTGTATCTGCTGAGTGCTGGCTGAGGGGTGGGGTGGGCTTGGAATCTGGCTGCCGTGTCTGTTGTGCCAGTGCTGTTTTATTGGATTGGGAGGTGTTCTGTCCCTCTAAGTTTTCAGGTTCCTTGTGGTTTTGGGGGACGGGTACTGGGGATCGAACTCAACCATGCACTTGCAAGGCAGGCACTTACGCTGCTGAGCTAAATCCCCAGCCCGTGTGGTTAGTTCTTACTGTCCCCACACTTGTCCTTCTCCAAAACGACCTCTGGTGCTCGCTCTGGGATTTTCACCTTGGTGCCTAGAGGGACAACACAAGAGTCTGAGAAACACTTTTAAGCTGGACTGACTGCGCATGCCTTCCCACACCTGCTGTCCCCTGCCTGGCCGGATCCAGCCACCTAGAATAGCTTTCCCAGACCCCTCAGTTGAGTCGTATCCGGGCAGGGCTGAGGTTCAGCCTTGGCCACACCTTCTGTGCCCCCAGCCACAGGCCAGCTAGTTTGCCACCATTGAGTGCAGCCTGCACATTTTGCTTCTATTCCTGCTTCCACCCCAGATCTGTTTAGGTGCTCCAGAGAGAGGATCTCAAAGTGTCGCTCAGGTTGGCCCTCATTTTCTGGGCTCAAATGATCTTCCTAGCTTAGCTTCTGGAGTAGTCTGGACTGCAGCAACTGCCCCCACACCTGGCTGCACCCCAGCTTTCTAAGTCACTCCCCCAGCCTCCTTTCCAGTGCTGTCCTGGTCAGCCCTGTGGAAAAACAGGGCTCGTGCCCAATGCTGGACCTCATCCTGCGCAACCCATATCAGGCTCCCAATGGGCCTTAAATCAGCTGCCTGGTTTTTTTCCTCTGGTGTATCCCTTAGATATACGTAATGATAATATCGTTATAGGGAATCTGTACCTACCCTGCGTGTATCTTCCCCCACCTTCACCCTTCTTCCCCACCTTATTTACAAAAGCTTGTTCCATATTTTTCCTTCTCTTGTCTTGTCCCTTCCTTTTCCCCTCCCCCTCCCTGTTCCTCCTTCTCATCTGAACATTTTCTTCCCATTTCCCAATATCTGTTAAACATTTTGGTCCTTATTACACTTGGTTTTTCACACCAGGGAAACAACTTGATTTATAAATGTGTGTGTCTGATTAATTTCATTTAAGGATGTGGTCTCAAGGTGCCACCATTAAGCTAGAAATGTCTTAAGCTTAATCTTTATGGCAGAGTACTACTCTGTTGCATTAAAAAAAAAATCAAAAAAAAATTTTTTTTGGTACCAGGGATTGAACTCAGGACTATGTACTTGCAAAGCAGGCACTTATACCAGTGAGCTAAATCCCCAGCCCTAAAAACCCACCTCTTTATCCATTCATTGGTTGGTGGGCATTTGGGATATTTCCAACATTTTTTAAAATCACAATTTATTGGTACATTACATAGGTAGATGATAGAGAATTAGTGCCTGTATATAATATAACAATTCTTTTTTTCCCATCCCCCTACTCTCCTTTCAACCCCTCCCCATTTATAAAAGCTTTGTTTCCATTTTTTCCTTTTTAAAATTTTTCCCTTCTTTCCTTCCCTCTGCCCCCACCCATGTTCCCCTCCTTGTTGGAACATTTTCTCCTTATTTTGCAATACCTAACACACATTTTGGTCCTTATGTACACTTGGTTTTTCACACTAGATAAAATATGTTGATATATAAATGTGTGTCCAGTTCATTTCACATAAGAGTGCGGACTCCAGGTGCATCTTTCACTAGAAATGTCTCAAGCCTATTGTTAGGTCCCCCCACCCCGCCCCGTCTGAGAGACAGCACAATCATCATGGCAGAGGGTTCGAAGCTGTGCCCTGATAACGCACACATCCTACTTCCCAGAAGCCCCTATGGCTTCTCCCTCCCATAAGTCTGCCCAAGCTCAGGGATGTAAAAGTTTACCCAATCCCCTGCACTCTCACCAAATAAATCAGCTCACACCAGCCACCAGAGCCCCTCCCCCACCAGAGCCTTATCAGGCAGAGCCTGCCCTTTGTCTGCAGAGTGGCCACAGCCTTCCTTGTGGTGACTCCCTCCTGCCCTCCCTGCTTATTAAACTCTTTTCTTATCTACTTGCCTCCTCTCTTTAATATTCTGCGCTGCTCTAGATTGAGTACAAATCACTCAATCACCTCTCCTTCACGGTAGAGTAGTACTCCATTGTATAATAAAAGAAATCCACATTTTTATCCGTTCATTGGTTGGTGAGCATTTGGGCTGCTTCCAAGATTTAGCTGTTAGGAACTGCTGCTATAAACATGGACAAGCACATCACTATGGAATGATGCTTTTGTTTCAGGAAGATACTAAAGAGAGAAATAACTGGGTCAAATGGATCCTCTAATTTTAGTTTTTTTTGTTTTTAGTTTTAGTTTTTGAGGTATCTCTGCTGATTTACACATTGGTCACAGCAGCTATGCTGCCACCAAACTGGAGAAGTGTTCCAGCCAGCATTTGTTATTGGTTGATTTCTTGATAATTCTTATCTTTCTTGCCATTTCTACTTCTGAGAAGTGTCTATTCATGTCGGATACCAATTTTTAGATTGGATCTTTAAATTTGGGGGGTCTTATTATTTATGAGTTCTTCATATATTCTGCAAATTAGTCCTTCAAGGAACAGCAAAATCTTTTTTCCCACACTGTGGGTTGTCTCTACTCTGTTGGTGGTTTCTCTTCCTGTGCAAAAGCTTTTTAATAAGATGAGATTCCCAGTTGTTGATTCTTTGAGATATTTCCTGTGTGATTTTGTTCATAAGGTATTAACCTACATTAGTGTCTTCAAGAACTCTACCAAGTCTATCTTCCAGCACACTGAATGTATCTTTTACTACTAAGATCTTTGATCCGTTCTGGTTTTAGGTTAGTGCCCGGTGAATGGGTCCAGTTTTAATCTTCAGCATGTGTAAAGCCAGTTTTCCAGTACTGTTTATTAAAGAGGCTGTCTTTGTTCCAGTGAAGGTGTTTGGCACCTTTGTCAAAGACAAGGTGACTGAATATGCTTAGAGTTGGTTTTGCATCTTCTAATCTGTTCTGTTGATCCTTGGATCTGTTTTTTGCCAGTAGCATCCTGTTTTTGTCACTCTAACTTTTGAGTATAATTTCAAGGGGATTGTGATGCCCAGAATTACTTTTGCAATTCTAGGTCTAATCTGATTCCAAATTAATTTTAGGATTGTTTTCTCTATTCATGTGAGATGTAGTATTGATATGGATTGTATTAAACCAATTGTAAAAACAATTTTGGGAATATGACCACTTTCACTATATTGGTTGTTCCTATCCAAGATTGAGGAATATCTTTTCATTTTCTGATATCCTCTTCAATCTCCTTTTTCAGAGTATTGCAGTTTTCAACTTAAAGTTCTTTTACTTCCTTCACTAGATTGATTCCTAGGTGTTTCATTATTTGGACGCTATTGTGAACCTCTTTCTCTCTCAGTGAGTTTGTTATTCATGTATTTCCTGTACTATTGTACTTCCTGGCTGTTGATTTTTGAGTGTTGATTTTGTATCTAGCTATGTGACTGAATTTGATTATAATTTGGAAATCTTTTGGTGGAGTATTTGGGAACTTCTACGTAGAATATCATGTTATCCATAAATAATGAATAATTCAGCCTCTCCGTTTCCTATTTTATTTCTGTCTCTTGTCTAATTGCTGTGGCTAATGTTTCCAGATAATTATAGTGAGTAAGAGCAGTGACAATGGACATCTCTGTTTTATTCCTGATTTTAGAGCGAAAGCTTTCAGTTTTTGTTCATTAGTATGATGTTGACTGTTGGTTTGCCATAGATGATTTTTAACAGATTGAGATAAAGACCACATTCCACTTTACTGTAGAGTGTTTTTTTTTTTTTAATGATAAACAGTTGGGGCATGGTGGTGCATGCCTGTAATCCCAGCACTGTGGGAGGCTGAGATAGGAAGATGCTTACAAGTTTGAGACCAGCCTGCGTTACAAAGTGAACTCTAGCCCAGCCTGAACTGTATAGCAAGACCTGGTCTCAAAAAGACAAATAAATAAAAAATAAATAAAATCATAAGCAGGTGTTGGACTTTGTCAAATCCTTTTTCTGCATCTACTGAGATCATAAGGTTTTTGTCATTCTTAATATGGTGCATAACATTTATTGATTTGCATATGTTGAGCCATCCCTGCATCCCTAGGATGAATCCTACTTGGTCCTGGTGTACAATCTTGATGATTTACTGCCTTCTGTTTGCCAGTATCTTAAGGATTTTTGCATCTATGTTCGTTAAAAAGATTGGCCTTTAGTTCTCTTTTTTGGTAGGATCCTTTTCTAGTTTTGGTATCAGGGTAATGCTTGCTTCCGGAAATGAATTTGGGAGTATATTTCCCTTTCAATTTAATTAAAGAGTTAAAGAAACAGTGGCATTAAGTCTTCTTTAAATTTCTTGAGTTCAACAGTGAACCCATCAGGGCTTGAATTTTTCTTTTTTGGTAGGTTTTTAATTACATCTTTAATTTTATTGACGGATATTGGTTTATTTAGAGTTTTTGCATCTTCTTAATTCAGCTTTGGTAATTCATATGTATAGGAATCTGTCCATTTCTTCTGTATTTTCCATCTTCAGAATACAAGTTTTCAATGTAGGTATATGTAGGGAGCCGAGTGACAGCCCATTGCTGCCTCCCTGCCTCTCTCTCCTATGGGCACTGCATCTGCCTACATTAACCATAATCCTCTTCTGCTTACGTCACGTATCCGGATGTGATGGTGACTCTGTTGTATTCACCCCTTAACCTCTTCCTGTCCCACCTCCCGCCCTTGGCCTATAAAAGGTGTGATCATTTCCTAAATAAACGGAAGCTTGATAGGATTATTTCGACTTGCTTTCATCTCTCTTTGTCTCCCCCATGTCTTTTATTTAATCCCTGTTCCCCCTCCAGGAGTTCTCCATGGATTGATCTGCAGGCCGGATCAAGTGGCGCCCAATGTGGGGCTCCTGGCATGGAGGAGTTAACGAGGGAGCCATTCGAGAGACAGCAGGCTTAAACTAAAAGTGAAAACAAATTAAACCAAAGACCGCGGCAAGGAGTGAACAAACTAAATCAAGGATTAAGCTTAAAGCAACAGGACATTAAATTAAGTACTAAGGCCTGCGCAGATGACTACCCAACGTCCTGCCCGAGTCATGGTGAGTAAACGGCAACCCCATTTCCTTTCCCGGACATCGGTCAAGTATTGAGCGAATACAAATTGTTCGTGGGAGGCCTTATAAAGGCATTAAAGACAAGAGGGGTAAGGGTTAGAACAAAAAAATTATTGCAGTATTTTCAATTTATTCATAAGGTTTACCCTTGGTTCCCCCTAGAGGGTTCTATAGATACCAAGAGGTGGAATAGAATAAGAGATGCTTTAAAAGATTATTATAGAGTTTTCGGTCCAGAAAATGTTCCTGTGACCACCTTTACATATTGGAATTTAATCTCTAAACTGCTTGCCCAGCGGCATGCAGATCCTCAGGTTGAGGAGACAGTTGCACTAGGTGAGGATGCCCTGCGTGACTCCATTAATTCTACCTCAAAACCGTCCTCAAAAAAATCTAAAGCCTCTGATTTCTCAGATGCAGAGGATGATGGCCTGTTAGAGGTCCTCCTACATGGTGATCTGCCACCACTTCCTCCTGTTGACATAATCAACAGGTCCCAGGATGGCGGCCCGCCACTCCCCGTGCCTCCATGGCCAATTGGGGATTCATATAAGCCTTTATACCCAGGCCTTTCTGATTCTCAAGAGGTCAACTGGGAACAACCAACACAACAAGCCTCTACATATCACCCTGACCCTGTTGCAGCACCGGCCACTATTAGCCATCCCCTGACTATGATGATGCACTCAGCATCTGCTCTCAACCTTCTAGCACATTAGCGGAATTAGAGCCAAAAAAAAAAAAAAAAAAAAAAAAAAAAAAAAGGATCTTTTAAAACAGATACAGCTAAAAAAAAAAAAATGCCAAAATCTTTCAATTCAATTGCAGGCCCTCCAAGCTACACAGTTTTATAGTGTCCTTGAGATGGCGCCTGCCTCCAGCACGCCTTGTGGCACGCTTAGTTCTGCCTCTGGCAACCAGCCTAAAATGGCTTTCCCAGTCACAGAGGCCCTTACTCCCCCACGGGATGTTAAAGAGGGCACTGAACCACAAGCTATTAGGATACATACACCTCTCACCTTGGCAGCCTTAAAAGAGTTAAAGGCCGCAGTCTCTCAATATGGCCCCTTACCTCTAAAAAGCTTGCAGCCGCACAGCAGCTGGTGCAAAACTAGTTAGATGCATGCCACATTGTCCCTAGTAATTCCCCTTGAAACACACCTATCTTTGTTATTCACAAAAAGTCCGGGAAATGGAGGCTGCTACAAGACCTTAGGGCAATAAGTAAGACAATGGTCTTAATGGGGCCCCTACAGCCAGGCCTCCCCTCACCCAGTGCCATTCCCCTGGGATTTTTTAAAATTGTCATAGATCTTAAAGATTGCTTTTTCTCTATTCCTTTACATCCAAATGACCAAAAGCATTTGCCTTCAGTCTCCCATCAATTAATTTTAAAGCCCCTATGCAGAGATTTCAATGGCGCATTTTGCTGCAAGGTATGGCTAACTCCCCCACACTATGCCAGTCTTTTGTAGCCACTAAGATACAGCCAGTCAGAGATCATTGGCCACATATCTATATTATTCATTATATGGGCAATATCCTCTTGGCAGGAGATGACCAAAACCAAACCCTAAGGTGCTACCAGGACTTACAGGTTGCTTACAAGAGGCTGGACTTCAAATAGCCCCTGATAAAGTACAGCTTACTGATCCATATACATACTTGGGTTTCCAATTACGTGGCACTCAAATACTCTCTCCAAGGCTCCAACTGAGGCTTGATGACCTCAGAGCACTTCATGACTTCCAAAAACTATTGGGAGACATTAATTAGCTCATACCATTTTTAAAACTAACTAAACATGATTTACAGCCCCTTTATGCACTGCTTCGGGGAGACATAGATCCAACCTCCCCCCGAGAGCTTACACCTGATGCCAGGAGAGCGCTCAGTAAAGTAAAAGAGGCTATTGCTCAACAAACTGTTTCCTTTATGGACTACAATGAGCCTTTACAGTTTCTCATTTTTAATACAAAGCTTTGTCCCACAGCAGTGTTCTGGCAACAAGCTCCCCTCATGTGGGTCCATTTATCAGTCTCCCCCAAAAAAACACTCCTGCCTTATTTCCAGGCTGTCTCAGACCTAATAATTCAGGGTAGAAAGCAAGGAAAATGTTACTTTGGCAAAGAACCAGACATTATCATTCAACCTTTTACAAAGACCAAATAGATTGGCTACTTCAGACTACGGAAGTGTGGCCTATTGCCTTAGCTTCCTTTTCAGGGACTATTGACAATCATTACCCTCCAAATAAGCTAGTTGACTTTGCTAATTATCACCCATTTATATTCCCTAAGATCACAGCTTCACAACCCCTTCCAGGTGCCCTGGTGTTATTCACTGGTGGCTCACCCTCCGGAAGGGCCACTTATGTATCCCAAAACAATGTTTCTACCCTCCAGGCAGACACTTCCTCTGCCCAGTTAGCAGAGTTAGAAGCTATTCTTGCAGCCTTTGCTGCTTACTCCCACCGACCCTTTAATTTGTATACTGACAGTGCTTACCTTGCTCAGTCTGTTCCACTATTGGAGACTGTTGCTACCATCTGTCATGCTTCCCCGGCTGCAAATCTGTTCAAACGATTGCAATGCGTCATACAGCTTCGCCGTCATAAGTTCTTTATTGGTCATCTTCGGGCCCATTCCAACCTCCCTGGGCCTCTTGCCCAAGGATATCATTTGGCTGATGTTGCTGTACAAGCACAGGTTTTTATGACTCATGACTCCAAGGTGTCTGAGGCCCAACAGGCCCATCAGCTACATCACCTCAATGCTCACACCCTCTGCCTGCTCTACAAAATTACCCAAGAGCGAGCCAGACAAATTGCAAAAAATTGCCCCTCTTGCGCTATCCACTTACCTATTCAACACCTAGGAGTCAACCCAAGAGGTTTAATTCCTAACGCCTTATGGCAAATGGATGTTACCCATTTCAATGAGTTCGGCAATCTAAAATATGTACATGTCATTATTGACACATATAGTAGCTTCAGTTTTGCCACTCTCCAGACTGGAGAAGCTGCTAGACACATTATAGCCCATATGCTGTCAGCCTTCTCAGTTCTGGGATGTCCTCAACAGCTTAAGACCGATAATGGCCCTGGCTATACCAGTACCTCCTTCGCTCAATTTTGCAAGAGCCTTAATATCCTCCACAGGTATACCTTATAATCCTCAGGGACAAGGCATTGTTGAACGTGCGCATCGTTCCCTTAAATTCACCATAGATAAAATAAAAAGGGAGACATGGTACCCCACCCGGGGGTCCCCTAGAAATGTCCTTTCACATGCTCTTTTTATTTTAAATTTTCTGACCCTGGATGCTTCAGGCTGCTCCACAGCATCTCGGTTTTGGCATACTCAGACTCAAACACGGTTTGCATCTGTTTTATGGAGAGACCCACTAACCAATGTGTGGAATGGCCCCGACCCAGTCCTTATCTGGGGACGCGGTTCAGTGTGTGCTTACTCTCAACAAGATAGAGAAGCTAGATGGCTACCTGAACGCCTCGTAAAACAAGTAGACAGTTCTTCAAAGACCCCATGCAACGCCCAGGAATAATGTCATTTCCTGAGGCACAATCCCCTGTGTTCTCTTACAGGTGACACAACTCCCTGGAGCCTTATGCTGCCTAGTCAGCCTTCTCCTTGAGCCATACTACACCCATGGTGGATTTTGACCCCTGCCAAACAGACTACAACTGCTGACAGCCATGCACAAAACCCCATGACTGCGGAAGAGCCTCTTCTCGGTCTGGAGGAACATACACCAGCCAAACAGACTGCGTCCAATGTTATGCGAGGCATGCTGCAAGACATAGGAGAATGACTTCATACAGAGACACCAACAAATGGCTGTCAATCCCTTCTCCACGATATGTGTCTTGGGGGGAGATTTTCCCTTACCTAGTGCCCCTTTTGGGTCCCCTGGTTGCCCTATTGCTTCTCCTTTCTGTGAGTCCTTGTATTTTTCAGAGGATTATGATGTTCATTAATAACCAGATAGATGCGTTTATGGCAAAGCCCATTCAGGTACACTATCATCAGCTGGAGATGGCAGATCAACAAACCTACCGGGAAGGAATTCCCACGAGTGCCCATATGACGATGCAGCCTAACTGCCCTGGGGCAATGGACAGGCAATCAGAGACGGGCAACTAGGACATGCATGTTAATTCCAACGGCCACCTAAGTCAGGCACAGGACCAACTGCTGTTCTGCAAGCCCATGACGGGTAAGGCCTGGTTGAGTTCATGCAGTGAGGTCCTTGACCTAAGACAGACGCTGTCCAGCAGGGCCTGCCATACTCTTGATTAAATAATATAAAGAGGGAGGAGATGTAGGGAGCCGAGTGACAGCCCATTGCTGCCTCCCTGCCTCTCTCTCCTATGGGCACTGCATCTGCCTACATTAACCATAATCCTCTTCTGCTTACGTCACATATCCGGATGTGACGGTGACCCTGTTGTATTCACCCCTTAACCTCTTCCTGTCCCACCTCCCGCCCTTGGCCTATAAAAGGTGTGATCATTTCCTAAATAAACCGAAGCTTGATCGGATTATTTTGACTTGCTTTCATCTCTCTTTGTCTCCCCCATGTCTTTTATTTAATCCCCGTTCCCCCTCTAGGAGTTCTCCATGGATTGATCTGCAGGCCAGATCAGGTATAGATGATCTTCTGAATTTCTGTAGGGTCTGTTGTGATTTCACCTTTTTCATTCCTTTTTTTTTTTAACCAAAACTGAACTGTTGGGAGCCGCGTCTGTGATAGCTCGCCTTGCGCGGCGGACGTGCGGCCTGTGGTAAAGAGCAAAGCCTGAGGTAGATTACCCCTCCCATCGAATATGTTAGTTTCCTGCTTACCGCGTAAACAACCCGCTCAACAATATAGTCTGCCTGGCAACTGATGATGTTAGCCAATCAGCTTGCCTTGCTTACTTTAACATGATTGGACACTGTACCCGTATATATACCGGTGCCACCCCTGGGCGGAAGAAGAAGCCAGGTAGAAGCCCGGAAGTAGAAGCCCAGAAGGAGCCGCGGAGAGCGGACCAGAGGAGGCTTCGGCTGGGAGCGATCCCAGGGCAGGCTGTACGGAGAAGGAAAATAAAAAGAAAAGGTTGTCCACTACCAGACTTTGTCGTGTGTCCTTCCTGCCGGCCGGGAGCGGACATCGACATTTGGAGGCCCGCCCGGGGACTGATCACCCCCGAGACGTGGAAGTGGACAACGCTCCAGTACAGAGCTGCGAGACAGGTGAGTTGGGGATAAGCCTGGGCTCTGGGTGGCGCGCACCTACAGGGCTTTTAGACTCCCCTCAGGCTCACGCGTAAGTGGCGGATTCCTTGGGCCTCACGCGGTGAGTAACATATTAAAAGATGGGAAACATGTTAGGTAGCAACACTAAGAGCGAGGGTGGTTGTGGAGAAAGCTCTCAAGAGCTTACAAAAGTACGCAGGGTATCTGAGCAGGCCCAGTCAGGGAGCTCCCGAGAGGGGTCCGTCAAGGGGAACAAGGATGCTAAGGAGGAGGACGGGGCTCTAGCCTCGGAGTCGTCTGACTCCGAGGACGAGGGAAAGTTGAATGGCAAGGAGGCCAAAGAGACCAGCTGTCAGGAGCCTAAATCGCTCAATAAGGAGTCGCAGGGTTCTTTTCCAGCGTTGCCCCGCGAATTGCGCTCTGCTCAACCTGGTCTGCGGAGGAGTAGAGAGCTCCTGAGCGCTCCCCGGCGCGAGAGGGAGGCGAAGCCTTCCGCCCCACCTTGGGGGCCGTTTCCGGAGGCGATTCCTCGCCACGAGGCGGCCGCCCGGGAGCTCTCTCCCCTTTCGCCAGAACAGGAAGTGATGCACGGGCCCCCATTTTCCGCCCAATCACGGCCGCTGTCTTATGCTCCGCCGCCGGCGGGTCGGTATTTTTACAGGCGGCTTTGGCAGGGGGGACGCTTGTCTCATGAGGTACATCCACCTGGGATAGATAGTGGCCCCTACGGGATATTTCCTGTACAAGTAGCTATGGGCCAGGGACGCAATGTATGGGAGCCTTTTGAGATAAAGCAGATTAGAGAACTTAAAAATGCAGTTACAACCTTTGGGCCGACTGCGCCTTACACCATTGCCATGCTGGAGAATCTGTCTTCTGGGCCCCTCACCCCCGCGGACTGGATTCAGCTGGCAAAGGCGTGTCTGCCCTCGGGCAGTTACCTGGATTGGCGAGCCTGGTACGCAGAGTTCTCTGCAGAGCAGGCTGAGAGAAACGCCAATCGGGGAAACCGGGGGTGGAACAAGGAAATGCTTATGGGAGAAGGTCGGCACGCTGATGACCAGACCCAGTTCCCCAGCGCTGTCTATGAACAAATCAATGCCATAGGGCTCCGCGCCTGGAAACAGGTAAGTGGTGCCGGAACTGCCTCCTTGTGTCTTTCAAAAATAATTCAGGGTACCACAGAGCCATTTGTTGACTTTGTGGCCCGAATGCAAGATGCTGCCGATAAGATATTTCCTGATCCGGGAGTGGCTCAACCGCTGGTAAGACAGCTGATTTTTGAGCAATGTACAAAGGAGTGCAAGGCAGCGATAGCTCCTCATAAGAACAAGGACCTCAACGCCTGGATTAGGATATGCAGAGAGATAGGGGGGCCGCTCTCCAACTCGGGAGTGGCTGCTCTCCTGGCCGCGGCTGTACAGCAGAGGGGACCTCGCGGGTTAGAAGGGGAATGTAAGGCTAAAGGGTGTTTTGCCTGCGGGGAGCCAGGACACATTAAACGTCATTGCCCAAACAATGCAGATGCTAGGCCTCGCCCTAGGAATGAAGAACCATATGTTTGTGGGCGATGCAAAAAGGGATCACACAACGCTGAGGAGTGTAGGTCGGTCTTTGATGCTCAGGGCAACCGTATTTGTGGACAAGATGCTAGAGAGCCAAAAAACGGCCAGAGGGGGCCCCCTTCACAGGCGGGCCCCCGCCCCAGAGACAGGACAGCTCAGGGTGGCAGCCTTCAACAAGGGCCACCCCTGGGTCAGCAGGTGTGGACCTCAGTGTCGCCTCAGGACTTATATTAGTGCCTGATATGGGTGTTCAAGTGGTTGAAACCACCTTTAAGGGACCGTTACCCGAAAATTCCGTGGGTCTGGTGATCGGGAGATCCTCCACGGCCCTTCGGGGTCTCACAGTAGTCCCAGGGGTCATAGACTCAGACTACACAGGACATATTAAAATTATGGTTCAATCTCTTGTGGGTACTATGGTAATCAATAAAGGAGACAAGATAGCGCAGCTCTTGCTGCTCCCCAGTCTCCACAAGAGATTTCCCTCAAAGCAGAAAATTAGAGAAAGTCAAGGTTTCGGTTCCTCAGGGGAAGTCTTTGAGGGACTCCATATGACACTTGGTAAAAGGCCCATGCTCTCACTTAAGGTCAATGGCAAGAATATAACAGGGCTCCTAGACACAGGAGCTGACCGTTCCATTATCTCCAGAAAGGATTGGCCTTCCAACTGGCCCACCAACACTGCAGATAACACGCTGCAGGGCCTGGGGATGGTGTCAGCTCCTCAGGTTAGTGCTTCAACCCTGCTCTGGTGCGATGAGGAGGGTCATCAGGGCCATTTCCAACCGTTTGTGTTGCAGTTGCCAGTGTCTCTATGGGGAAGGGACATCCTCACTCAGATGGATGTCACGCTTACGTCAAACTGCTCCCCCCAGGCTAAGGATATACTCAGGAACCAGGGATATACCCCCGGCAAAGGCTTGGGCAATGCCCTGCAGGGTCGGACATCCCCAATACCAGTAGAGAACAAAAAAGGTAGGCAAGGGCTGGGTTTTTCTTAGGGGCCGCTGAAGAAGCTCTCCTACCCACTTCGATCAAAATCACCTGGAAATCAAATGATCCGGTTTGGGTACCTCAGTGGCCCCTGCCTAAGGAGAAGCTATTAGCCTTGTCAGAAATAGTCAGTACACAACTTAGATTAGGACATATTAAGCCGTCAACCTCCCCATGGAACACCCCCATTTTTATAATTAAGAAAAGGTCTGGCAAGTGGAGGCTGCTCCATGATCTAAGGGCGGTCAACGCGCAGATGCAGCCCCTGGGGGCGGTCCAGAGGGGGCTGCCAGCTCTCTCAGCCATCCCTCAGTCCTGGCCAGTTTATGTTATAGACCTTAGAGACTGTTTCTTCTCAATTCCCCTGCACCCAGAGGACACTCATAGGTTCGCCTTTACTTTGCCCACCATTAACCAAGAAAGCCCTGATCTCAGATACGAGTGGGTAACGTTGCCCCAAGGTATGGCCAACAGTCCCACTATGTGTCAGATTTACCTTGATTCCCTACTGGCCCCCCTATGAAAATCCTTTCCCAAGATAAGATGTATGCATTACATGGACGACCTTTTGCTCAGCGGCAGGGACCCAGACATGCTAAATAATATGCTCAGCCAGTTGGTCGAGGCCCTGAGACAAGCTAATCTGCATGTTGCCCCCGACAAGATTCAGGGAGGAGAAATGGTGACCTACTTAGGCGTGAGAATCTCCCCTATGCTAGTCTCTCCGCAGAAGGTCACCATTAGGACGGATGGCGTTAGGACCCTAAATGACATGCAAAAGCTATTGGGAGACATTAATTGGATTAGGCCATATTTACATATACCAAATTCAGATCTCAAACCCCTGTTCGACCTTCTGAAGGGAGACCCAGATATAGCCTCCCACAGGAGGCTCACTCCTGAGGCAAGAGCTGCCTTACAGAGAGTGGAAAAAGCCTTAGGTGGGGCTACCTTACACAGAATTGAACCAGGGCGACCCTTTGATGTCTGTTTGCTACAGACTAGTCTACAGCCTACAGTGGTGATTTGGCAGAAAGGACCACTACTGTGGATACACCCTAAGGTCTCACCTGCAAAAGTCATAGAGCATTACCCGGAGGCAGTCGCTTCATTGGCCCTTGAAGCGCATGATAGAGCTGTCCAACATTTTGGCTCAGGACCACAAGCCATCCGAGTACCCTATACCGCCAGCCAGATCAAGACCCTGGCTGCCTGCATAGATACCTGGGCCATTCTGAGATGTGTTTTCCATGGGGATATAAACAATCAATACCCTAAAGACCCTATCTTGTCATTTGTCACTCAGCACCCTATAATTTTTCCAAAGGTTACTGCCTCTGAGCCATTAGTCCCAGCAACTACAATATACACAGATGGCTCCAAGACGGGGATAGGCACCTATGTGATCCTAGGCAAGCCCCCGGTTACCATACAATTTAAACCAGATCAGCCTCAGGTGGTAGAACTGCAGATCGTTAAAATGATTCTTGAACGGTTCTCAGAAGCCATTAACATTGTCTCCGATTCTAGGTATGTGGTCAATGCTATGCAAGTGCTTGAGACTGCCAGTTTAATTAGATCCACTTCCACAGTGGCTGGACTGTTCCTGTCTATCCAGACATTGCTTCAGAACAGACACCATAAGGTCTTCACCACCCACATAAGAGCACATACATCCCTGCCGGGGCCCATGGCACAGGGGAATGCGGCTGCTGACACTGCCACTCGCCCGTTATGGATTTTTACCTTACTAACACCAATCGAGCGAGCCCGTGCCTTCCATGATAAGTTTCATGTTAATGCCAGGACACTAGCAAACCATTTCCATGTTTCTAGAGCAGATGCACGAGATATCGTGCGACTATGTGACTCCTGTGCCACATACAAACCTGCCATACCGATGGGAGTAAACCCTCGAGGTTTGATCCCTGGTGATGTTTGGCAGATGGACATCACACATATACAGGAGTTTGGGACTCTTAAATATGTTCATGTTTCCACAGACACCTGTTCTCACGTCATATTTGCAACAGCAGAAACAGGTGAAAAAGTGTCTAATGTGATCAATCATTGCCTGGCAGCTTGGGCCGCATGGGGCAAACCAAAAATATTAAAAACTGATAATGGACCAGCCTATATAGGCAAAGCCTTCAATGAGTTCTGCAAAATGATGGAGGTTCAATTAAAACATGGTATCCCATACAATCCCCAAGGTCAAGGAATCATTGAGAGGGCTCATAGAAGCCTCAAAGAAATTTTACAAAAACAAAAAGGGGGAGTAGGCCAAGGCCTGGCCCCAAAGGCATGATTATCCATGGCACTATTCACACACAATTTTTTAAATTTAAATAATGATAATTGCTCCCCAGCCGTGGAGCACTGCAACCCTTCCCCCAACCATAAAGGGTGGGTGAAGTGGAAAGATGTCCTGACGGGACAATGGATGGGCCCGGATCCAGTGGTCAGCTGGAACCGAGGCGCGGTTTGTGTTTTCCCACAGGAACCGGGACGAGAACCACTGTGGATACCGGAGAGACTGACACGGGCAACAAAGCCCTCGACTGAAGATCAGACCTGCCCTACTGGAGATCCATCACAGACCAACCAATAAGATGAATAGAAATAGCGGTAGCCCGAAATGGACAAGAAGATCCTCAGGCATATGCATGGCTTGCTCAATTGGCCCACGACCGAGTCTAGATATGGCGGGCATCCCTCATTCTCCTCCATAAGGTGACAATACACAGCAGGGTAGGTGAGTCAATGACGGGTAAGAGCGTGCCTCCCCAGCACGACTCGACCTAAGCCAGGCCCTACCCCATCCTGCACGTAAGCCGCTGGACTGTTAGATGCTGCCCAGGTCTAAATTTCTCTCCGAGGGGATTTCTTTACGGAGAGGAAATGAGTGCAAGCTTGTGTGCATCCAGGTTCCGTCCAGTTTGTGCCTGGCCCTAGAAAAAGGACGAGGGCCTCAGGGCCTTGGCAGACCATGGCATGGCCAACCAGGGTCTAAGCCAAGGACCTACGGTGGACCTACACATAGGGCATAAGCCTCTGCACCCAGTCCAGGAAGGGCTACGATGCGCACATTCATAAAAAATAAAATAGGGGGAGATGTTGGGAGCCGCGTCTGTGATAGCTCGCCTTGCGCGGCGGACGTGCGGCCTGTGGTAAAGAGCAAAGCCTGAGGTAGATTACCCCTCCCATCGAATATGTTAGTTTCCTGCTTACCGCGTAAACAACCCGCTCAACAATATAGTCTGCCTGGCAACTGATGATGTTAGCCAATCAGCTTGCCTTGCTTACTTTAACATGATTGGACACTGTACCCGTATATATACCGGTGCCACCCCTGGGCGGAAGAAGAAGCCAGGTAGAAGCCCGGAAGTAGAAGCCCAGAAGGAGCCGCGGAGAGCGGACCGGTAGAGGCTTCGGAGCGAAGCCCGGAAGGAGCCGCGGGGAGCGGACCAGAGGAGGCTTCGGCTGGGAGCGATCCCAGGGCAGGCTGTACGGAGAAGGAAAATAAAAAGAAAAGGTTGTCCACTACCAGACTTTGTCGTGTGTCCTTCCTGCCGGCCGGGAGCGGACATCGACACTGAACCAAGATTTTATTTTTTTCCAAATCCATTATGTTCAAGGATAAAAAGAAACAAAAAGAAGATGAAGAAAAAGACTACAACAGAATTTCAAAACACATCAATTGGGACAATGATGGTACATACACTGCATGTTGTCATCCCCAAATCATTCACCCAGAGCACAAGACATCTGCATCCAGTTGTACAGACAATATCTGCACAAATCTTTCTCTTAGGTGAACTCAGAGAAATCAGTAGTATAACTGTGTTAACTATTTATCTATTTCTGTGGATGGCCATTTAGGTTGTTTCTAAGATCTGGCTGTTACAAACTGCTGCTATAAACATGGGTGTACAGCCGGGCATGGTGGCTCACACCTGTAATCCCAGCACTCGGGAGCTGAGGCAGGAGGATCGTTGCAAGTTCGAGACCAGCCTGGGCTACACAGTGAGCTCAAGGCCAGCCTGAACTGCATAGAGACTCTGTCTCAAAAAGACCAAAAAGAAAAAGAAAAAGAAAACATGGGTGTACATATATCACTGTAGTATGATGTTTTTAATTCTTTTGGGAAGACACCCAGAAGGGGAATAACTGAGTTGAATGGAATCTCTAGTCCTAGTATTTTGAGAAATCTCCACACTGTTTTCCACAGTGGTTGTACCAGTCTGCATTCCCACCAACAGTGGAGAGTTCTTTTTTCTCCACAGCTCCTCTAGCATTTGTTAGTGCTTGATTTCTTGATACTAGCCATTCTTTCTGGTGTGAGGTGAAATCTCAGTGTTGTTTTAATTTGCATCTCTCAAATGACCAGTGACATTGAACATTTTTTTCACATATTTATTTGTTTGTATTTCTTTCTCTGGCTCATCTCAGATGCCTGTTTTTGGACTGGGCCTTTAAATTCTGGGGGACTGATTGTTTTTTGAGTTCTTTATATGTTCTCCCTAGTAATCCTTTGAGAACAGCTGGCAAACATTTTCTCCCAAGTTGTGGGTTGTCTCTCCACTCTGTTGGTGTTTTCTTTTGCTGTGCAAAAGCTTTTCAGTAAGGTGAGAGCCCAGGTGTTATTTGTGATAGTTCCTATGCAATCTGAGTTTTGTTCATAAGTCTTTCCCTACACCAATGTCTTCAAGAGTTTCATCTACTCTATCTTCCAGCCGATTGAATGTTTCCATTTTAATATTAAGATCTTTGGTCCATTCTGATTTTAGCTTCGTACATGTTGAAAGATATGGGTGGTGAAAATTCTAAGATGTGGGTCTACTGGGAAGATATATAAGTAATTGGGTGTCTGTTCTCAGAGGGGAAGGTGGGGCTCTGTCTCTGCTTTCCCTTGCTTTCCAGCCACCATAAGGTTCTTGTTGCATGAAATTCTCTGTGTCATGATGCATTGCTTTACCATAGACCCAAAAGCAATGGTACCAACAAACCATGGACTAGTCCCTCCGAATCTGTGAGCCAAAATACACCTCTCCTTTTTTTAAAATGTGTTATCTCAGGTATTTTGTTACTGTGATGGAATGCTGGCTAACATATTTATATTATATGTGTCACTAAAGTTTTATGAAAAAATGCCCATAAGGTATAGTCAGAATCTTCTGATCCCACCTTCCTTACACTTCCTAAATAATTCAGCCCTAATGCCATTGTACGGAGCAGAGCAAAGTGGGTATTCGTGCTGTTTGCTGCAGCATATGAGGAACTCCAGTGAGTGCAGTGAGAAGCCCAGTGTAGGAGGGCACAGCCTGAGCAGAAGAGGAAGCCAGCACTCTGGAGAGGCAGCCTGCTCTGGGGCATTGGCAGCAGATGAGGGATGTCTGCCTGGGATGGGAGCCTAGTGTTGTGTGTGGGCACCTGAGCTAAGTGACCAGCATCAGAGCCCAAGCCAGTGTGTATGCGTGTGTGTGGAGTGGAGGGTGAGAAGACAGAGTGAAGAGGACATCTACACATGGAGAAGCTGGACCTTCCCTCCTTCCAGCTGGGAGCCCAGTGGGTAAGAGAGGCAGCATATGGAGGAGCTAGAAGGGCCATCAGAGCTGAAGAGGGGTTTGAAGATATCCAGATAGGGGCTGGCCCATACAGACAGCTGTGCAGGAGACTGGGGTGGTGCTTTGGCTACAAACAGGGAAGAATCAGGTATATTAAGGATAAAACAGGCCATGTTGCTTCCCACTAGAGAAGGGTACTGTGTGTGGAGAAGGGAGAAAGCAAGAAAAACTATCGTCGTGAATAGACCGGAGATATTGGCATGTATTCAGAGCTGTCAGCATTTTCATATAGACATAAAAACCAACAGGCATGCAGAAGGTCTGAGAGCAATGAAATCAACTACTTTGTGCCTAAATTTTGGCTTCTAAACACCACTGTCTGCTAAAACAGCCATGGCTAAGCTGGGTGTGGCGGTGCCTGCCTATAATACCAGCACTCTGGGGGACTGAGACAGGAGGACCGCAAGTTGATTCTCACTTGGGTAATTTAATGACTTAGTGAAACCCTGTTTTAAAATAAAAATAAAAAATAAAAAAGGGCTGAGGATGTAACTCAGTGCAAACTCCTTGGATGCAAGCCTAGTTCTGTTTTTAAAAAAAAAGCCCATGACTATTGAAGAGAAATAAATGATTCTAAGGCAGGGGTAAAAGCACAAGATGTGCTTGGAACATCTTATACAAGGAAGCAAAGTACTACTCAAAGGTTGATAAGATCGTCTCTCTCAGAGGCACAGGAAGCCAGCTGGCCAAATTCAGGAGCAATTTGAACTTTGAAGTTTACAGGATTATAACCCACTGAATAAAAATGAAAAACAAGGGTCAATGCTGATAAAAGTAAGTGAATAAATGAGAAGTCAAATGAAGCATGATGCATTCACATAGTTTCAAATAGATTCCTTGACACAAAATGCTTATTAAGGGCTGGGGATTTAGCTCAGCGGCATAAGCACCTGCTCGGCAAGCACGAGGTCATGAGTTCGATCCCCAGTACCAAAAAACAAACAAACTTATTAATTACAAAGAAAAGAAAGAACTTTGTTGTGAAGAAGCCTGCAGATGCCATCTTAATGAAGTGATCCAGTAGGAGAGGGATAAAGCAAAGCTACAGATGAGAAAATCTCTCTCAGAGATGCATAATTTGAATCTGACCATAAGAAGACATCAAGCTGGGTGTAGTGGTGCACACCTGTAATCCCAGCATTCAAAAGGCTGAGGCAGGAGGCTCTCTGAGAGTTCAAGGCCAGCCTGGGCTGCATAGTGAGTTCAAGGCCACTCTCAACAGCAAAGTAAGAACCTGTCTCAAAAAACAAAAACAGGATTGCCATTACCAAAATAAATAAATATATAAACCCAGACTAACAAAAAAGAAAATCAGAATGACCCAATGGGACGACATTCTACAGGATAACTGGATAGTAATCTTGAAAAGTGTGAAAGTCATGCAAATGAAATCAATAGAAGATTGAGGTAATATTTTAGGCCAAAAGAAACTATAATGGCAGGCAATGTAAACGCGATATGTAAGTCTGTCCTGTTGTTATAAAGGACATTATTGGGACAATAGGTGAATTTAACTGGGATTTGAGGGTTATCTGGAAATGACATGGTTTCTCTTTTTGTTGACAGCTGTTTTGTGGTTGTGTAGTACGATAATTTTTTTCTTTGTGGTACTAGGAATTGAACCCAGGGCCTTTACATTGAGTTACAACCCCAGCACTTTTTGGTTTTTATTTTGAGATAGGGTCTTTCTCTAAATTGCCCGAGCTAGACTTGAACTTGTGATCCTCTTGCCTCAGCCTCCTAGAGTGTTAAAATTATAGATGTGTAAGGGTCCTGTTGATAGGAAATATGCGATAAAATTGATTATGTGCGTGGCCTATTGATATATTGCTACTCATGGTCTGAAAAATACCATGGTGCTGAGCATAGTGGCCCACTCCTGTAATCCTAGCATTTTGGCAGGCCTAGGCAGGAGAATTTCAAGTTCAAGCCCAGACTGGGCAACTTACCAACTTAGTGAAAACCTGTAATAAAATAAGAACAATTTAAAATCTGGTGATGTAGCTCAATGTAAAGGCCCCAGGTTCGACTCCCAGGACTGCAGAGACAAGCAACAACAGCAAAAGCCCACCACAGTGTTCAGTGTCCTCTCCAGGTTTGATCTGTTCCTTACCTCATCGCCCAACAGTTCTGCGCCCTCCACAGCTTTCGTAGGGGCCACACCTGTGCAGCCACTTCTGGCTGCTCCTCTTCCCATGCAAACAAAGGGGTCATCAAGCTGCAGCCCTGGCTACCAGCTTTAGTGGCCCTTTGCTCCCAGAGCAGAAAGCTGCTCATTCTACCTCGGGTGGCATCTGAGTGTCGTGAGATCACCTGGCCACCTCCAGGTAGAGGGGAAGCCTTCCAACACTTCTGGGGGTCGCTAAGCCGCTGTAGGGGCTTTGGCTCCCAAGAAATAAGCCGTTAGGATTGATTGAGGGGAAATGATCAGCTTTAAGTTGTAGATATGAGCATGAAAGACATTTAGAAGTACACAGAGACACAGAACATTTCCCGACTACAGATGTTCTTTGAAAGAATTACTGGAGGAGGCAGTTTCAGGAAGCATCAGAAGAAGCTGTTAAAGGGAAAAATAAATGATGTAATCAGTGACACTTACTGTTGATTCAGGATAATAGAATTGAAATCCAAGATAATATTAACACTAGAAGCTAGGTAAGGTAGTGCACACCTGTGATCTCAGCTGAGGCAGAAGGATCAAAAGTTGAGTACTACCTGGGCAGTTAGTAACTTAACGAGACTGTGTCTCAAAATTTACAATTTTTTTTTCTGGTACTGGGAATCAAACTCATGACCTTGCACTTGCCAGGCAGGCACTGTGCCACTGAGCTATATCCCTGGCCATGTCTCAAAATTTAAAAAGGCGGCTGGAGATAGTAACATAGTACAAGGCCCTGGCTACGAGCTCCTCTATCACCG